TCATGAAAACAAACTCAGGGGCCCCACGGGAGTGACCTGACCCTCTTTGGAGGGCGGCCCCCTCCAGTGATCACCCTCCAGTCCCCACCTCCCAACATCACCTTGCTGGAGAACTTGCTTTCAACACTTGAACCCTTGGGGCTAACACTCAAGCCCTATCCAACCAGAGTACAAGACTCTGGCTTATCCCACAGAGACCTCTCAATGTTCTAGAAAGTGATGCCTGCCCACCTCACCTATGCTTTGCCCTGGGTTACACAGACAGTGGCTGGGAGACTCAGGACTCAAGTCTCCCATCACTAGCACCATGAAATCCCCAGTGTCTGGTATGAGGAAGAGGCCATGTTTCTTGAATGTTTCTCCAGGGCAAACTATTTGTACCCTTTGGCCCACATATGAACCCAACAGGGTCTTTCCTACAGTTTGCCCTAAGAAGCTGTAGGAGGCCGGCGCCGCGGCTCACTAGGCTAATCCTCCGCCTAGCGGCGCCGGCACACCGGGTTCTAGTCCCGGTCGGGGCGCTGGATTCTGTCCCGGTTGCCCCCCTTCCAGGCCAGCCCTCTGCTGTGGCCAGGGAGTGCAGTGGAGGATGGCCCAGGTGCTTGGGCCCTGCACCCCATGGGAGACCAGGAAAAGCACCTGGCTCCTGGCTCCTGTCACCGGATCGGCGCGGTGCGCCGGCCGCAGCGCGCTGGCCGCGGCGGCCATTGGAGGGTGAACCAACCGCAAAGGAAGACCTTTCTCTCTGTCTCTCTCTCTCACTGTCCACTCTGCCTGTCAAAAAAAAAAAAAAAAAAAAAAAAGCTGTAGGAGATAATTGACGTTTCACCCCGTGTTCTCTTGATCCATCTGGATTCACCTGCGGCTTCAGGGCACTGTTTTGGCACAGACTGATGGCTTTCACATAAGCATCAGCATCTTTCTCCTCTGCCTTAACTGGCATTTGGTCCCCACCGTAAGCCTACCTGCTACAGTAACCATCACACAGTAGAAGGTAGGATTCATGCATAGATGCTGCAGTGGACAATTCCTGTCTTACTTCTCAAAGAGGCCCCAGCAAGAAGGAAACCCAGTTGTTTCCAGCAGTAACCTGCTCATCAACCTACGCTTAGTTGACTTTCCCCTCTTCCCCGTCTCACTTCCTACATCCTCACCTCTGCTCTCTGGATGCTCTCCCAAATACACCACCTGCATCCAGGCCTTGGTCTTAGGTGTTGTCTTTGGAGGGTACAAAACCCAAGACAGAGACCCAAAACCTAAACCAAGACTCTCATTTGAAGACTGAGTCAACTTCTCCTTCCAACTCCAAGCTCCAGAAACTTACATAAGAAATGCAATCTGGCAGATAAAACCATCTTCTCACTCCTCTGCAAATGCTGGGTGGTCCCTGGACACAGCACCCAGAACTTTCTCCACTCCTCTGCAGGCCTGCCTTTTGCCAGGGAAGTCACGGAAGCCGGAAAACAAACCCTTCCCTTCACTCACCATCCCAGGAACTAGCTAAGTATATGCACAGGCTCCTCGTCTCCCAGCTGCCAATTCTTAGCATTCCATCACACCTGCTACAGGTGCACGCTGTTCCTTAAGTAACTCCTTTCATGGTAAAATTCCTGCTGTCCAAATCCAAATGCTGCAGCACCCTGATGTGGTTTGAGTATCCCCCTAAGGGTTCACGTGTTGGAGGCTTGGCCCCTAGTGTGTCTGCAGTGACAGGTGGTGAGGACATCCTTGTGCCACTGAGTGTGTGTGTGTGTCGAGGGGCTGCCCTCGGAAAAGATTGACAAGGTAGTTCTCGGGAGAGCAAGTTTCTTGAAGAGCAGGCCCGAACCCTGAATCACTTTCTGGCTTCTGTTCCCGCGAATATGATCTCTTCCTCCTACATGTGTTCCTCTCCTGTGACACCATCTGCCACTGGGCCCTCATCAGGGGCAGAGCTGATGAGGCTGCCTGATCTTGGACTTGGGGTCTCCAGAACAGTGAGCTAAAGAGAGCTATTGTCTTTACAATGATAGCCTTCTCTGGGTATTTTGATATGGTAACAAAGGATGGAATAACACAACTGCATTAGCCCTATGCTTGCTTTTTCTAAAAGTCTGGACCCCCAGACAATTTCTGGGGCTGGCACTGTTCACCTTCTCCCTGAAACCTTTCTTCCCACTCTTGGGTCTCAGGCTTATCCTGGAGGAGCTGCATGCAGATTGGATGGTGTGCACAGGCCCAGTGGTCAGTACGTGGTGTGATAAGGAAGGAGAAAAGTGGATTCAGTCATCTTCCGGTACTATTTCTCTTTTGGCAACCACATCCTGGCCCCCTCTCCCACACATATACCCCATCCCATCTTTCTGAAGTCTCTGCCTTTGGTCCCTGCCCCGGTTTTTTCTCTCCTACTTTTCCCAGGTTGAGTTGGAACAGTAAGAAAGAGACCAGGTCTGATTAAGACTTAAACATCTATCCTCTTAAGGTTTGGGTCCCCAAACCCATCAGACTCAAGATCCCCGTTTGACAACACATGTCTCACACCCTGACTTTAAAATCCTGAATGGCACTTTTAACCATTATGACAACACCTGCAGACCAAGGACTCCAGCTAGGTTCCTCTGAGCCTTTTCTCAACAGGATCTCAGCCTTGGCCTTGGAAGTGGGCAAGTGCCTGGCTCTCCTTCCTGTCTCAGGTAGGCTGCTTCTGACACGTGTTCCAAGAGGCGGATCATGGAAGACCCGGGGCGCTGAGGCCACAGCATAGCCTGCTCAGTACTCCCACTTCACTGTCCACTCTCTCCTCCCTCCCAGATCAATCCTCCAACATCCAAGCACTAGTGTCAGGTTCTGCTTTCGTGGACACCCAAGCTACAAGAAGGTATTTAAAGAAATTCACCAGCAGGTAAAGGAACACACTGTTCACAATGACCACAGCTACTTCCTTCTCAAATGGTTCCTGATAATGGCTGCAGACACCGTCTCTGTAGGTGGGGCTTTGAAATGTTCCAGGACAAATAATGGCCTTCCTAAACTCGATCAGTAAAAAAGAACCCAACTCCCAGACTGCCTCCAAACCACAGCAGTCAGCCTCCTGTGCACCTTCAATGGAGGTTACCTGTAGCGAGTTTCAGTCCCATGAATGATGAATTAGGAGGCTCCGGCATGACACTAAGTCTTATTTTTTCTTCTTAGAATTATTTACTCAGGTTCATGTATTTGAGAGGCAGCGAGGCAGAGATAGACAGGGAGAGAGATCTCCCATCCACTGGCTCACTCTCCAACTGCACACAATAGCCAAGGCTGGGCCAGGCCAAAGACAGGAGCCAGGAACTCTGTCTGGGTCTCCTGCTTGTCTCTGCTTTCCTCCGATGAACACCTGTGGCTATGTCATTAGTTCCCTAACAACAAACAGGTGTCATAATCGTTTATTAGCCTTAGTACAAACAGACCTTGACACCTGCTGCCCCCTTCCAGTCCCCCCATTCCCTGGGGTTCTCCTAAGCAGCCCCTGCCTTCACAGGACTCCTCGGGTCCCTGGGGGTCACCTAAGCAGTCCCCGTCTTCACATCTCTTCACCTTTGGAACACAACACCACCGGAATCATCTTTCTAAAACCCTAACCTCACTCCTTCTTTCCCCTCAGCAAAACATTTCTCTGTGAGCGTCTCCATCCCAAACACATCAGAACCACCTGGGATGTGGGGTGGGGGGGGGGGGGGGCTTGGTTACTTGTTTTTCAGCTCCCTCCTATTATCAGCTCTTGCATTCCCAGGACCTGTGTTCCATGGATGGGAATCCAATGAGTACAGAAAGTTCAAAGTGGCCTCCGCCATCCTCACAGATACAACCAATTTCTCCAACTCAACCACCCAAATCTTGCCGGCCTTGTGCAAAAAACAACAGAAAATAACAGACAAATCACTAACGCACTGCTGTTTTCCCACTTGTTGCCTGGAGGTTGCAAAAGCGCTGCTGGCAGAGACACATCAGAGCACTCTCCCCTTGGTCCCCACCCGGACCCCCCCCCCCCCCCAAGCAGCCCCACAATCCCTGCCTCCCCCGGGGATTTCTGAGCTAAGAGTCCAGTGTTGAAAGCAGCGCTTCCAAATCTCCCTGCTTGCATCCCAGTCCTTGCAGGGAAAGGGCGATTTCCAGGACCCAGGCAGGGAGGTCTCCCGGCACCGAGGGAGACCGGAGCCTGGGGCAGAGCCCCTGCGAGGCACAGCCCTTCCTCGGGCCTTGCTTTCCATCCGTGAAATGGCGTTAGAGTAAGGGCAAGGCAGGACGCACGCAGGCAGCCCGAGTTATGGCAGGGCCTGGCCCGGGGAGTAGGGGGAGAGGGGTAAGTGCCGCTGCCGAGAGCTTAGGGGTACAGGATAGGGGCGCGTCGGGAAGCAAACCCAGGGGACACTCGCTAGCGCCACTTGTCGGTGACAAGGAGCAGGGGCGACTCGGCCTGGGAAAATAACCCTTTCCCAACTTGGAATTCTCCGGGAAAAGCCAGACCGTGCCATCCCCAACTCACAACCGCGTAAGGCGAGGCCCTGGGACGTTCGCAGCCAGCTGTGGTCGGAGCCCTTTTACTGACCCAGGGATCGTGTTGGGGGGAACCTCCAGAGCTTTGCTCCTCTCCGTTTCGCCCACGTACCCACGCAGCAGAGCCTCGGACGCTCCCCCGACTCCAATTTACCCGTGCTGACCCCTAACTCTAGTGCTTCCTCGCCCTGCGCCCCCGGTTTCCTTGGCGGCCCGTCAGGTCCCCAAAGCGGACGAAACACTGCCTGCCTCCCCAACCTGGAGGAGACTCCGTGATCCGGGGCTTCCCACCTAGGACAGCACCGCGCGTGAAAGCCCGGGGAAGAGCGGGCGGGACCGAGTCCTGGGAGACAACTCCTGGGACAGAGAGAGGGGCGGGACACAGGGCTTACCCCGACTCCGCTGGGCCGGTTCCCCCCTCTCGCGTCTCCGGTCGCCCCCGAGGCTGCCCCCCGGGCACGTGCGGCCGCCGGCGTGCGTCAGCGCCGGGGAAACAGATGACTGGCCCACCACGCCGGGCGGGGCTATTTAAGAGGCAGCGGCCGCCCCCCCACCCTGAACTTGGCTCGGGCGCCGGGCTGCTCCGGTGGACTCGCTGACCGCGCCGCGTCTTCATCCCAAGGTAGGCGCCTCTCTCGCCGGCGGGGCGGCAGGTGTCCCGGGTTTTCGGCTTTGTACTCTCTTTCCGTTTTGCTTCTTCCGTTTGCCCTGTCTTCCCTCCGACAGCTCGAAAGACGTTTTCTGAAAGTCGGAAATAACGGCACTGGATCTCAAAACGAGGGCTGGGTGTGCTCAGCCGTCTGTTAGAGTTCCTCACGCCTCGCCGCTCCCTTTCTGCGGACGATGCTGGCAGAGCCATGTGCCAGGGCTCGCGCGCACGCCAGCATGTCCCAGCCCTTACCCCGCGGTGCCGTGCACTTTGGCGATCCTGCCTGCCAAATAAAATACCAAGCGATTTTACTGTTTAAATTCACTTTCTAAATGCGGCGGGGGTGGGTGGTGGAAATCAGGGTTTGGGGGATAGAAACCTTCGGGTATTTTATCTGTTTGTGGACCTAAAAGCAGAGATCGCTGAGCGCCTATTTTTGGATTTTTTTTTTTCAAACCTTGCCTGTGTAAATTCAGCTTTTATGGATACTGCATTTTAAACCGTGCCTCTCTTATTTCGGTCTTGAAAGCTTCAAAGCCATCGGGAAGGGCGCTACCGGTTTTAAAGGGTCTAATTTTCTCCCACAAAGTCTTCCCTTGCGCGTATTTTTCAACACACTTTTCCTTCGTGGAGACGCGCTGCGCCCGCTTCTGCTAACTTTAGGGAGGAATAAATCAGCCCATCTGCTAAACACCGCAGCAAACAGGGTCTCCAGTCGCCGCGCCCCGATACTGGGTGTGGATTAACCCCGAAGACCAGCCTGGCGCGCCAGGACGCGCGCGCTGTGGTCTCTAGGCTGCGGTCTGCGCCGCCTTGGGGAGGCGAGGGGTGTCTGACTCTCTTCTGGGTGGGTAACTCTTAGCAGGAGCCCGCGGATGCCCAGACTTTTGGTTAACGCCGCCCCGCGCCCCGCGCCCCACCCCCGACCTCCGACCTCCCCACCCTTTGCTCTCCACAGCCATGAACCGCGGCCTGAGCCTGTGCGTGCTGATAGCGGTATTGGCGGTCGGCGCCCTGACGCAGCCCGTGGCTCCCTCAGATCCCGCGGGTTCTGGGGTGCAGCGGGCAGAGGAGGCGTCCCGGAGGCAGCTGAGGGCCGCGCAGAGGACGGATGTCGAGTCCCGAGGGCACCTGGGCGCGCTGCTGGCCAGGTACATCCAGCAGGCTCGGAGAGGTAAGGACGCTGCCTCCCCAGTCCCGAGATCGCTACTGCACCTGCTCCGGGCTCCCAATTCTGACCTTGTCTAGAGCCTGCTTTGAGGAGGTATTCTCTCGGGAGGAAGCGCAGGTTTCTTTTCTGAGTTACCTTACAGCGCACCGTGAGGTTTTCTGGACATGCTTGGTAGCAACCTGAGAGGGAGTGTGGAGGACTGATGAGTAAGAGCTGTCCTTAAAATCTCTTGGAGCTGATCTTTGCACAGTGTTACCATTTAAGTTCAATGCCACTTTATGAATGCATCAAAACATAATTACTGAACCCCCCCCAAAAGGATTCCCAGATAGACTGACTCCCTTTCCTATAAATGCATGGAACTGGGAGCCCCCCAGATCCTGACACCTGGAAACCTTCTCGCAGGAAGTAATCAATGCTGACAACAGCAGTTTAAAAAGAAGCGACAGTGCGTCCGTTGTCGCCGAAGTACATAACAGGAGAGAGAAATAGGACACGGCTAGGAGGGAAGGGAGATAATACTTTATCCACGGGGCTCTCTTAGCCAGCCGGTGTGCTGGAAACTTCTGTGTCCGTACATTTCAGGGGGCACAGTGTGATAAGTCATTAGACATGCCATATGTGATGATCGAATCAAGGTTGTTTTCTGTTTCCTTAAAGACTTTAGAAATGTTTTGATCAACATAATAATTTTACCCATGTTGGAGGTACAGCTTGATATTGCGATACACGAGACTGTACACTTTGTGCCCAGATTTCAACAGAGAGAAGCCCATTTGCTCTATTTTTCCCTCTTTGGGAAATGGTCGCCAATCACCACTTTGTCTTCTGCTCTCCCTCGAATGAACTTGGAAGAGAAGCTGATCCTGGTCAGCTGAGAGGGAAAACCTGAACGTCTTTAGGGTTCCTGGTGACTGCTCATCCAGTCAGTCAGTACCCGCCCCCAGGTGTGAGTTGCATCTAAGACCAGTCTGAAATAGCCCAGGATTCTCACTGGAACCCCTCTGCCCAGCTTTAGGAAAGACCCGAGGAAACAGTAAAGCCAAAAGCCACAGCATTTCCTAAAACCAGCACTCGCCTCTTGCAAAGTCCTGCCTGCTCCCTCTTCACCCTAGCCCTCTCCCTGGACCTTCAGTCCGTGCTGCCAGACAGACCCAGGTGGGCCTGCTCATCGCCGGGCCATGGAGCTTCCCACGCCTGGGATGTGCACCAGCTGGGAAACCATCCCAGACTTCCATCTGACACCTGTGGATTAGGAGGGACCATTCACATATTTAGTTGTTGCATGGTTTCTTTGAACATTTTGCATATTTTCAGGTCAGATTTGGACTCAAGTACAAGGTGTGCTTACCCTGGAAGGTTCTAAACAAGGCAATGCACTCTTTGCACAATGCTCGTGAGTTTTTTTCAGGAAGAATTGTCGGCAGGCCTCTCAATGGAGGTTCAGTCGGAGAGCGCTGGGAAGGCATCCAGTGGCACAGTGGCTGTGGTGCCCAGCACAGCCCCAGTGCTACGTCTCCACTGTCTCTTTCGGCCCTCAGAGCAGCCCTGCACTGTACTATTGAGCCCATGGTGTCTGTGCCAAAGCCAGGGCTCCGGAAAGCTGTGCACATGGGCAGCGGCAGGGCTGCCCGTCTGAGTCCTGACCTCCCCGGAAGAAGCCACTGAGCTTCTGAGCCCATTCTGGGATTTAAAATGTAAAGGCGGCTGGCCCCTTAGTTCCACCCCACAAGTGACTAAGTCCCTTCTCAGTGTCACTACGCGCAAGCCATCGCTCTGCTTCCGCGAGACGAGAGCTGGGGCTGTGCCCCGCCTTGCCCTGGACATTGATGCACAGAGCAGGCGGAGGGTGTCGCTGAATCTGAGGACTGACGTTTCAGGTCCTGCGTGGCTCGGGAGATGACACACAGGGCTGAGCTGACTCCAGCTCCAAAGCTGGGAGGGGAGGCGGGCCTGGGAGGAAGGATGGGACGCTGCTCTGTGTGCTTACCCCTGATTCTCACTTAGCTTGCCTGATTCCATTACCTACCAAGACAGGGTAGCTCCCTCTGCAGTATCAGCTGTCAATCCATAAGCCGTATTCCTCCCCACCCAAGGGCAAGACTTGGCAAGGGCAGCCTCATGAGAGGTGGAGGATGGGCCCCCACCCCTGGGGAATCACTGAGTGGGGTCTGTCCACGGTGGTCCCCACGGGCCTCTGTGGACCCTTAGTTTTCACAGGAGAGGGCTTTATATTGATTTCTCACTCTCGGAAGCCACTGTCTACAATCTCGTGAGCCAGGGCAGTGTCAAGGACCTCCAAAGAAACCAGTTCACATCTCTGCTGGCCTGGTGTTGAGTTAGATGGGAGATCCAGCCTGCTCCTTGAGATCTGACCTCCATTTCAGGTTCATTGACTATTGGAGCAAAATGGGCCCATGCAGCTTCGATCACTGCATTTAGATCAAAATGCCAGGTTCCTATTCTTTTATTCTCACTCACCCTTCTTTGAGTGTTTCTGAGATGCCAAGATTTGGGGTTTTTTTCCCCCCAATATCATTCTTAAAAACAGAAGGTAGCTTTCAAATGAATCAAGGGTATTTATACAGCAGAGGGACTTGAGTCCATGCTTTTAAAACCGTTCCAATGCCACGATGCTGTAATTGCACTACTTTATAACAAGAGCTAGGTATGTTGAGGGGTTTTATGGGTAAGTTCTGGGGGAATCCTTGGCTGGCTGCTGCTAGGGGAAACAAAGGAACGTCCAGGCGGGTCACCCTGTGTGCAAAGCAGGGCGAAAGAATCCACTAAAACACCAGCAGAATACAGAACACACCGTGGCTGGTAAATACTGCCCTCTCTCCAGCTACCCAGTCGGGAGTCTGTCTCTCTTCCCCCGTATTTTGGGCTTGCCTTTCCACTCCCTTGAGAGCTCTTACTTAACTTTAGGGAGGTGTGTGTGTCACTTTCGTCTCGTGTTTCCTATCATTCTCCTTCACCAATGCAACTGGTCGTGTTCTCCGATGTAATGGCCCTGTTTCCTGCCTCCACGCCCCTGTAGCTCCTGCTGGCCGCATGTCCATCATCAAGAACCTGCAGAGCCTGGACCCCAGCCACAGGATAAGCGACCGGGACTACATGGGCTGGATGGATTTTGGCCGGCGCAGTGCAGAGGAGTATGAGTACCCGTCCTAGGGGAGCCGGCGCCCCTCCTCGGCCAGACAGGAAGCAACCTCCTGACCTTACGAAGAGGAGGCTGAATACGAAAACAATCACATTGTAACTCATTGTCACCAACGTTTGACATCTGAAGCCTCTATTAAGTTCTCAATGTGAAAAAGTCTGTCTAAATCGTCCAGTGAGTGCCCCCTCCCCCGCCAACCTCAGCCCAATCGTGCAAATGGAAGACCCATGTGTGCTACATCCGTGGCTCCCCCTCCTCAAGTGTTGCTATGCTATTAAAGTGATGGCTCTCTGTCTGTCCGTCCTTGTGTCTGCTGAGGGCCAAGGGCTCCATGTGGCCTTCAGAACGTGCCAGTAGGGAAATGGGCTGTGTGGTGCCCAAGGAAAGATCCCTGCTATGGGGGATTCCAGAAAATGCTTGGGACGTGGGCATCAAGCGTGGAGTGTGCTTTCGTCCAGTAGGCAACAGGGAAAGAGCCCTCTGCAGTCAGCTCCAGGCCCCAGCAGTGACCACCTTTGCCCTCAATGTCCTCTGCCAATCATCCCCCACACCAGCCTTTCTTTTGGGGTCCTCTTGGCCTTTGAAGGAATTACAGGGCAAGACCAAATAAAGGTTTCGCAGGCATCTGCTTGCTCTACGCCCCGTAGCACAGAAGTTACTGTCCTCACGTCACTTATGAGCAAACAGGCTCTAAGAGGGGAAAGCCACCACCCCAGGTGCCCCAGCTAATGAGAGTCACAAATCGGAGGGCTTCATGCTCCTAGGTTAGGGGGACCCCTGCCCACCCAGCCCTTCTCCAATGCCAGAGCACACAGGACTCTGCTAGGCAGTCTTCCAGTTCAGCATGTCTGAGCTCAGAGCCCCTCTGTATCTCAGTGCATGCTGGGTGCACCTTCCCGTTGGTTCTCTGTGGGGGTCAGTAGGGGAACCAGTCCCAGGGGACACACACAGTCGGTCTCGTACCTGCCGTCCACACAGCAGCCTGTTCCTGCCCCCTGGCTGAAGCCTCCAGGAACCTCAGATCCTTATCCAGTGGAGAGCCCAGGTGGCGGAGTGCAGCCCTATGGGACCAGACACAAAGACAACACTGGCAATTCAGCTGGTCCCAGGCGGCCCCTGCCTGGGGTTACAGTGCTTGTCTTCCTTAGGGGTGGAAAGAGATTTCCGGGAACGTCCTCAGAGGGGGGCCGCACAAAGACTGGATCAGTACAATTCTCGAACCTGAGCACAAGGTAGGATTCCGTGTAGAGCATGGCCCCCAATTACACGATGCACTGTATTGCTGCCGCCTGAGGCTGCCACCTCACTCAGTCCACACAATTCGGGCTCCAAGACTGCTTCACGTCTAAGGTAGCCATGCAAATGCCTGTTCTGTCTTAGGGGATATTTGGTATGGATGAGAATGTGCTTGTGTGTGTGTGTGTTGGAGGTTGGGGACCACGAAGGACTTGGACTTTCATACAAAATCAACAATGAGAAATGGGCGACGAGCTGAATTAGTGACTTATGAATCACGAGAGAAGTGGGTGTCAAAGTATCATTTTCAAAAGTAGTCATGACTCATCCAAATTTAAAATAAACCCCCGCCAGGGATGTCATGAACTCCTCATTAATACAGGAGCCAGTATGACGCTGCAGCCGTCAGGAATGCTGAATTGAATTTGCTACCAGAGACAGAACTGGTTACATCTATAGGTCAAACGCAGTATTTGGGGTGATCCGTCATCCAGAAGAGAAAGGAGCTGTGTCTTTAGGGGACAGCATTCATTCATGAGAGTTATTTGCATTCATATCAGTTTTCTAGGGTTTACAAAGCAGCCCAGCCAAACCCATGTCACCAACAGCACCAGAAAAGTACCGGCACAGGGGATTTCCCGGTGTCCCTTTGATGGAATTCTGAGTATTCCCCTGGGGCTGGTGGCTTGGAAAACCTGCAGAATTAGCAGAGTCACTGACAAATGGGATGAGGTACATGCACTCGAGCCCTTTTCCATCCTCCCCTGCCTGCCATGGCTCACATTCCTGGAGGGGCAAACACAAACAAGCCGTTGTTCAAGCCTCACTTGCCCCATGCTACTGGGCATCAGCCAGAATGACTTCAACATATGTGCTGTTTGCCCAAGTCCCATCCCAGAAAGGATTCGATCGTCCTCTTGGGTCGACGTGTACAGGCTGCTTCAGGCCCCTTCCTGGCTCCACACACACACACACTGAAGTGCACCTTTGTGGCCGGTGGGGGCTGCTGGCACAGGTGCAGAGACTCAGGCAAGTGGAGGATTCTAAAGAGCTGTCAGTCAAAGCAGTGAGAACCATGAAAGGAAATAGGCAGAATGGCAGGGCTAGCTGCATGGAGGAGAGGCCAGCCAGGTGGCTGCCCACCGCCACCACAGCCAGCTGCACCCTGCGTGTCAGGGAAGGTCTTACTTTGTGACTTACCTAAGCCAACCAGAGAAATGGACCAGCAGCTCCACCTACAGAAGACGACAGCGCCCTCAACTGGACATTCAAAACAGCACTCCTCTGTGTGCCTGCTGCCATGTGGCAGGGTGTTAGCTCCGTGCACACATTGAAATCAGCAGGACAGGGCCAGCGCTGAAGCATGCAATGTTGACATCCCATGTAGCTTCAAGTCCTGATCCAGCTCTCGCTGCTAATGCACCTGGGAAAGCTGCGGAGGATGGCCGAGTACTTGAGCCCTTATACCTACGTGGGAGACCCAAAAGAAAATCCTGGCTCCTGGCTTCAGCTTGGCCCAGCCCCCGCTGTTGCAGCCATTTGGGGACTAAACCAGCAGATGGAAGACCTCCCCAACCCCGTGTTTCCCTCTATCTTTGTCTTTCTGCCTTTCAAATAAATAAATAAATAAACTTTAAAAAATCAGCAGTATTCAGGTCCATTTCTTCCTCCCACCTCACCCAATCAGCTGAAATTTTAAAACCAGATAATTAAGGACTATTTTTGGAGCATGGGTAATTTATTTTATTACTCTACTTTTGAACTTGTAGGGTGGCCACCTAAAAACTCCTGGTTTGGAAAAATCACCCAGTGAAACTGAGGAGGGAAGTGCATTTTGTAGAATTGGAGATGAGGGAGCAAACGGGCCACTTAGAGATGTTTTGAAGATAGCTTGGTAGTTATGGTTACCCCTTATGAGTGAACACCTGACACTTGGCACTGTGCGTGAAGGAAAACTGAAGGGAAAGACAATTCCAAATTAGTCAAAATGTGAAGTTCCAGGGAGCGCTTGTGTTTTGAATAGAATTTGGCTCGTACCGAATCAGCTCGTTCATGGTCACTGTGACTCTCCCTGAACAGCAGGGACTTATAAACCATGATTGGGTGTTAAGAAGGTCTCCCTCCTTGCACCCAGGTTACGGGGCAGGAGTCTGGAGCCCAGCGAGGAGTCAGACTGAGGCAGGCATCCTAACTGTGGCTGAACTGGGGTGAAAGTACTAACTACTGCTCTGTGCTGGACACAGGGAGAGGACGGAGCTGGCTGTGGCCCCATCAGAGGCATCCAAGCTCTGTTCACAGGTGACCACCTGGTAGTGGTGGTGGTGGTGGTGGTGGGGAACAGGAGGACCGAGGCTGAAGGAAACCCACCTGGCGGCGTAGTGCGCCTTCAGGTCTTGTGCAGTCTCCAGGTGCCCCCTACTGGCTACAGAGAGTCAGTCTCCCCAGAATATGCTGGTTCTGAAACATGAGCTCAGAACAAATTATTTTAAATCTATATCTCATCGTGATCCCTATTACAAGCTGCCAGTCAGTTGAGGCATGAATTCAGCATGGCTTTCCCTCTCTACCAACCTCTCCCCAGGTAGCGTCCAGGTTCTGGGAGAGGCGTGTGTCTACTTGCTCGGTCCTCTATGCAAGGTCTCCCAGCATGCACCTGCCTTCCAGGCAACATGTAGAAGTGACCCCCACACCATCTGGGGCTGACACTGTCTGGCTGTCTGGGGACTTCACTGAGACATACCTGCTGCCATTTATTTATGTATTGACTTATTTAAAGGCTCTCTCTCTCTCACACGCACACACACACACTCACACAATCTTCCATCTGTTGTTTCACTCCCCAAATCGCCACAATGACCAGGAAGTCTTGGCCAGGCTGAAGGCAGGAGCCAGGAGCCAGGAGCTCCATCTTGGTCTCCCACATGGATGGCAGGAACTTAAGTACTTGAGCCATCATCTACCACCACCCAGATGCATTAGCAGGGAGCTGGATTGGAAGCCAAGTAGCTGGCACTGAAACCAGCACTCAGATCGGGGATATGGGTGTCCCAAGAGGCAGCTTTAACCTGCTGTGCCACAACCCCTGCTTCTCTGCAGCCATTTCCACTTCCTGGCTGTGTGGTCACCACCTCCTCTTTCCTAGCTCCCCCAAAAAACATGCCCAACCATCCTTGGATCCCTGACCCATCAGGGGCTTCTCCCATAACCTTGGACTTGGTCCACGGTGGGAAAGATGAAGGATTCCCACATCGGTTACATGTGGGAATCCCTCTTCCTCTTGGACAGCCCTTCGTCCAGCCCCTCTCCCGTGCGATTGGCAAATGGGAGCAGGCAGGAGTGAAAAGAAAACCAGGCTCAGCAAGTTCTCATTCCGCACCTTTGGGTCTTGCACCAAAGTGCGCTGGACTTGCTCTTCCTTCCTAACGGAAAACCGAGACGTTGATGTCTTTCCTGTTCTCCTCGAATGACTCTTTGACATCTTTCCCTTTGGGCCACGGCACCCTCTGGGTGAAGTCCCTGGGCTGGGGCGGGCTGGGGCTACACACGAAAAAAAAAAAACCAGTGCAGAGCAGGTTAGAAACACCCCTGGGAGAGAAGAACACCTTCCGTCATGTACCCAACACACAATATCAGGGTCCTGCCTACCTTTTCAGAGTCACCTTTTCTTGCTTTTTTCTGAGTCTTATTCTTTGCTCTTTCTGAAGATATCTGAATGTCGCTTGCAGCAGTCAAGCCCCTTGATGTCAATCCCTTAGCTTGCTCTTACATATCCACCATGCACTTCCTGCACTCAGGATATCCCGTATGGGTACGCTATTGAAGTCGCATGCTCCATGTTCAAATTTCCCTGGTTGTCCCCATGGCGTCCTTGTGGGCGTGGTTTCCCGGTCCCCGTGCCCAGTGCAGATCACGCATCGAGTGACTGTCTTGCCTCTTTGTCTTCATCAACCTGGAGCAGAACCTTGACCTTTCTTTCCTGGCCGTGACAGTTTTAAAAGGGCTAAGGTACACTTCTATAAAGTGCACCACCCTTGCAGGAACGTCACAGAAGTCATGGGTGTCCTTCTCAGGACATCACCCATCGGGAAGTGCCTGGCGTCCGTCTGTCCCACTTGGGGTGAGGTTAGATTCCGTGACCTGTTTGACGTGATGCACCTGGGGTTCTGCATTGGAAAGATGCCTCCCCCTCTTTGTAAGTTCCTGCAGATCCCACGGGAAGAGAGGAAGATGTGTGTAAAGAGGCCGCTGCCTGCCACTCTTAGCCAATGGTTTCAGCATTCACTGTTGTCTGAATGAGACATCAGAATTACAAAAACGGTGGTTTTCAAGAATCCATGGTCCCTTCTGTGTGTCATCACCTACCATCCCTGTGTAAGGAAGAGCGCAGACCCAGGGTCACCTGGCCTCAAGGCCCTCCCCGCCCTTGCCAGACTGGCCCCCACCTTCTCTCTCCCCTTCAAACAAGGAGGGCTGCAGCTGTCTCCCAGAGCCCCTGGGCCAAGGAGGCTGGCAAAACTCCCATCTAGGCTGCACCTGGGCTAGCACAGTAGGTCTCCAGCTTTAGTGCACACCTGCGTCACCCATTAGAGAAAACAGACACCTAGACCCTGCCAGGGATTCTGATGCAGGACCCCTGAATCTGACAACACCAAGGTTTATTTCCTCATTCTTCTCACTTGGAGACAGGAGGATGGAGACACCACCCTTCTATCATGTGGCCTCAGAGTTCAATGCACAGGAAGAGGGGCGTGGGGAGTCAGGCCTGGTCTTTCCCCGGCTCACAGCCCGCTGGCCAGAACCAACCACGTGGCCCACTCCACTGCAGCGGCTGGGAAGATCCACAGTCCACTTCGCCACCACTGCACTCTCCCGATCTTTCCAGCAAGCAGCCACACGTGCCTTCTCCCTGCTCCTCCAACACACCAGATGCTCTGCTACCTCTGGGCCTTTGCACCAGCTGCGCCCTCTGCCCAAATATCTCCCACCCACCCCCAGAGGCCTCTGCCCCATCCGCAAGAACTTTCCCCTCCTGCACATCACCCTGTCGGAATTCTCTGCACAGCCCTCATGCTTCCGCCTGGCTTCATCACCAGTCTCTCCATGGACGTCACGCGCTACAGAGCAGAAGCCTGACTCACTAGTGAACATCACTGTCCCCCAAATGTAACAACCCCTGGGACACAACTCAAAATATACCCAACGGATGAGCCCTAGGATTTACTCCTGTTCCCATTGTATAGGTTAAAAGGACAACACAAATCAGAATACCAGCGTGGTTTCCATCATTTGAGCTTATTTTATTGGTTCTCGTTAGCGAATGAGATTTTATTGTTGATGTCTGATGCATCACAACACACTTCTTGGTAGTGGCTGCACAATGTTGCTCATTTGATTTATTTACTACGCTAAATACTGCGGCCTCCGAGTTGCCGGTTTAGACACTGGTAGTTTGGTGGCAGCGCTGGCTCCTCGCTCTCTACACGGGGTGGTCCATTCAGCGCGTGGCTTTCACGTTCCTTTGTTACTCCACCTGCTGCTTTAAAATACATTCAAATCAAGGGAGATAACGTTACTCGCACAGAGCGCACACCTACGACAGTGAGGAGAGCTGAGAACATAATTAAAAAAAAAAAAACAGGTGTTAGGAGAATAAATAATTTGAAATCGTGGGACTGAGGCTTGCTCCTTGGGGACTCCTCTGCCAGTGTCCTCGGTGGACATGAGGCTGCCGTCACTCAGGGGCAGGACACTCCAGGTGGGGACACAAAATGACAACCTATTGCCTTGGGATGTTACCCTTCCCGTAGGAGTCTGGTCACGGAACCCCATGGCGTCCAGTGCAGTGCTCAGATTACAACAAATCAATCCCTGCTTCGATTGGGATGCCACCGATGCACCGTGGCCGAAGCTGGAAGGCGAGAGGGTGTTTGTTTACAAAACGGCACACAACAAATAATAAATAAAAGTTCACGACTGGATCAGTGACAGCGACAGGACCAGGCTCCCTGGTTCGTGCATGCGTAGTTCTTTCCAAAAGCACCTCCGTTGTTCTTCTAAGGACAGAAAGTGGCACACGGAGAAAAAGGGCTGGGGGCAGGGGGAGGAAGACACCTGGTTGTGACAGCCTCTGTTCCGAAACAAGACGGAAAACGGGACATAGCTGAGCCACGCTGGCCAGCTTGCGTTTCACCCTAAGGACACCAAAGCCTCGTTTTTCCCTGGAATCGGTTTGGTGTCGGTTCTGGTTCTCCCCGAGGTCTGTCCCTATCCCTTTTCCTTTCAGTCCTACAGTGGAAGCTGTCTTGGGCTCTGGTCTGAAATCGACTGGGTTGTGACACTGCGACCCGGAAGCACGCTGCACTGGTTAGCGGCTTGCGGTATCTGGAATTCCTCTTTTGGTATCACGGAACCACAGAGAGGACGCACGCTGTCAGGACTGCGACTTCCCTGCGTTTAAAAACACGGAAGGATAAAAAGCAATCACACAGGACGCAGAAGGGGCTGCTCAGTGTGAACCCGTTCTCTGCTGGGTCCGACGCCTAGGCTGACGGCTGATGAAAGAGAGCGTCACGCCTCAACAGAAAAATGACCGCGCACAGAGGCAGGGTCGCGCGGGTGGGAGAAGCCGGGCTGCCCGTCAACGGAAGAAGATCTCTCCCATCATGAAAAGCTACGTCAGCGGCAGGTGGCCAAGGCCCGAGGCTCCTAAGCCTCTTGTGGGGTGGCCGAGGCGAGGTGGCCCAGGGCCCCGGGGCGGCAGGTGCACTCGTGGCGTGCAGCGGGCAGTCAGCCCCAGGATTCACTGGCTTCCTATCCATGGGATAAGAACACACTTGGGAGTTTCAGTGCTTCTTGAGGGGGAAAGAAGACGAAGAGGAACCTTCCCCCGGGGTGAGCACAAGCCAAATCCTCGCGAGGGTGATGATGGTGCGGAGGGCCCTTCCTGCAGGGCCGGAGGAAGGGGCGGGGCAGGTGCAAGGTGCCCCGAGTCCTATGTACACATTCTACACGGCCTCGGCTCTGCCCACCCTGAGGCACGAGGTTGATTTGTCGAGCTCGGGAGGGCGCGGATGGAGACGGGAAGGAGGAGTGCGCGCGCTGTGGCGGGGTGGAAGGGAGGCAGCGGGGAGCGCCGGCCTGCTCTGGGGCCGCAGGCCCCCTCCTCACCGTAAGCTAGTCTGTTTGGGGAGCTTAGCACCCATCAAGATGCCTGAGGTGAGAGTCACAGGGGCTTTCATCTGCATGCTGGACCCCACCATGGTGGGGAAGCTACGATTCCGCCGGATGCCACTGTTGAGCTGTAGCCCGCCGATGGCACTGGTGACCGTGGGGCATCCCAGAGGCAGGCCCTCGGGGACCAGGCCTCCGGGGACCAGGGCGTGTGTTGGTCCCGGCGGCCCGCCGAGGAGAGGTCCCTGATCCTCAGTCAAGGTGTGGACATGCGCTCGCCCTGCTGAGTTCACCACTCTGGCCACCCCAAACCTCCTGACTTTGTCCACGAGGTTGAGGTTGGAGACGGACACGTCGGTCTGGCTCTCGCTGCTACGCAGGCTCTTCTTCTCCCTCACCTCCCTCAGGATGGAGCTGGCCGGCTTGGAAGCCAGGAAGTTGTCGTAGGGAGGGCTCGTGCACTTGAACTCGAAGGAGGGCAGGGAGGACGTGGGGGTCTGCATAGGCGAGTTGGGTGGGGTGGAGGGGATCACGGCCATCCTGGGCGCATAGGAGTGCAGGAGCGAGCCCCGGGCAGCCCTGTCCCAGCTCTGGGGGTCGTACACGGCCGCAGAAATGCCCCGCTCCTTCAGCAGCCACACCAGCCCCAGGGACGTGCTCATGGTGGTTGTGGACTCCCGGACGTTGGTGAAGGATTCGGCCAGGCTCAGCCTCCGTGGGGTGCACGGCGTGGCCACTGGCGTGGACTTCAAGTGGCCCGCGCTGCCACAAGCTGGAGTCGGGGCTGAGTTAAGGCTGGAAGGAAAGGAGGATGGGTTATTTGCCAGGAGTGCCCACAAGTGCCACAGGCAGGATCAGGGGCCAGTGCCCTGCTGGAGACACAGCTCGGGGTGGGGAGGAGGAGACACCTCTGCTCCTCCCTCTCACCTCTGGCCCACAGAAGCCTTTGATTTCCCTACACGAGGCTTGGCTGAAGTCGCCAGGAAGCTGCACATGACTCCCTTTGCTGCCCCCTGGTGAGCGGGGATAACCGGCCCCCACTCAGACACAGAAACAGGTGCAGAGGCAGAGGTGCCTTAACTCAATGTCACACCCAGCTAATGGATCCAAGCCCAAGCCCCAGGGACCCCAAGGCTGTCGGAAGGCAGGGGAGGATGCTCTCAGCATGCCTTGCTCAGACCACTGCTCCCTCTACCCAGGGCAAAGACGTGAGCCACGGCTGCGAGAGGCAAGAGGCTGGCAAAAAAAAAAACAAAACAAAAACAAAAACAAAAAAAAAAAACAAACACCAAGGCCAGGCAGTGCTGGTTAAGTCCAAGGCAGCACCCAACTCCTGAGCCTTGGCACAGTGCCCTGCCCTCTGCATCGTGCTGTCCCAGTCCATCCTGATGGGCGGAGCTGTGGCCAGAGGGAGCCACCCCTAGCCTGTGTGATCAGACTGATGTCTACTGTGCTACCTACAAAAAGGCCCCTGGAGTGTGTGACGCCCGAGCTACCCCGAAGGAAAGCAGAGCGACTTGCTCATGCACGCGTGTCGTGGTGATGGAGGGCTCACTAGGTGCCAGCTGCTGGGAGCCAGCTCTGAAGGCCGTCAGGACAGCAAGGTTTCTCGGAGGGGCAGCGAGGTTGGGGGTGGGGTAGGCATGCTGTGTGCTTAAGAGATAGGACCGGTTTCAACAGCTGCTGTGGGGAGGCGGTGAGGACCTACAGGCATGCAAAACCTGCCTGTTTCTGAATGGGCACCACCCCTCCAAACAGTCTTACGGGGCCTGCCCTGGACTCTGCTTGAGGATTGCCAGCAGCTCTTGGAGCAAGTCAGCTGGGTGGTCCCTGGGGGCGTGGACAGAAGACCTGGCCAACGGAGGCCTGGACACCTTGGGCAAGGTACTAACCACAGGGAGGGAAGAAGAGAAGCAGGTCCTTGAAATGACCTGAGAAGCGCCCCCTGTTGCAGGAGAGAGCATTCGACGGCCAGAAACAAGCCGGAGGCACCATGTGGCTGGATCAGCCAGAACAGGTGCATCTCACATAAGCTCAGGAGTGGGCATGCTGGCGCGTTGGGAATACTCAGAGAAACATGAGATCAGAAACCACAGCAGATTCCTAAGGCTAAAAAATGTGGATTCCTCAAAAGGCACCGGAGGAATTGTACAAATGCTGATGTACAAGCAACACAGGGCAAGAAAAAAAAAAGTCTTGGATGTTAAATCCTGTCTACGCGGCCATTCCTAGCGAGCATTCCGTTTTGTTTCAAGAAGCCTTTCATTCAGACTCGGGCAGGCAGGACCACTCTTGCTGCAGCTTTTGTGGGTGTTTTGCCCAACAAGGCCAGGAGGACTTTTGAGTTCTGTGGCTGTAGCCACAAGAGTGCAAAAGTGACCCGTGGCACCGGCTCCTTCCTGGGATGCTCCAGGAAGCTTGGAGCAACCACTTTTTCCAAACATCGACCCACAGGACGAGGAAGCCAGGGGCTCCCGGGGCAGGAAGGGCAGACAGAAACGACAAAGCTAAAACTCAGAGACCCCCGTCTGGTGAGAACTGCAGGTTAGGCCTCGATTAGTGCCGGCACTCGGCTTCACGGGGGGCATTTAGATGGGTTAGGGGTCTCAACCATCAAGGCCGCGTTAGCCAGGCGCCACCACAGAGACACACCCAAGCCCGAGTCCCCGGGTTAGTGGCGGCCGCGCGTGCACACACAGCCCCTTCCACGTGACTCTGCCAGGGCAGGCACCTGCTGGCCGTGTGCTCACCCCCTGCCTCGCCCGTGGGCTCAGACTCTCTTGCCCTACACCTCCTGTCAGCTCAACGGGGCTTATGGCTGCTTCGTCGTCCTCCTCACATGACCTGTGGAGAATTATTCATAGTTGAGGGTGCTCCTCGGGGCTGCTCCCTCTGAGCGGCCCATGTCGCCGCCCTCCCTTTCTATTGCACCTGCCACCAACCCCCGGCAACTTGCTTGACTGCACTATGGGAAAAGTGCTGGGGGCAGGGGGGTCCCTCTCCTGTGTTGAGGGGGACCCTTCTCCATGCAACTGGGAGCTGTGGCTGGAATCAGCCTGGAGAAACCAAGCCACACCACACCCGTACTCTCTGTTGCCAGATGAAACCTCAGAAGAGGTGGACCCTGCCGGCTGTGTGGCTCGGTCTCGGGGGCTTGGTCTTGTTGGTCATTATGGTTTGCCCCTGGTGCATGGTTCCTTGGGTCTGTCCCAAAAAGCACAGGAGCTCCCCCAGAACACAGTAACACAGGCTGTTTTTTGCTCTATTGGCAAAAAAAATCCATCAGAACTGGCTGTAGGGCCAGTGGGAGTGTCAGCCTCGGTTGGTTAAAGAGGAGCCCATGAACCCATTCCGTGGCCAACACAAAAGGCCATCAGAGGAGGGTCCAGGTCTCTTCCCCTGAGCTGGATCTGAATCTACAAGGGCCTCGACTCAAAGGGAAAGAAGGACCCAGAACCGGTGGCTCACAAATGCTTGGGAGACGCTCCAGTTAGCCGCTGTAAGCCTCTCTGCTGGGCCTCCCTCAACATTAAGCTCTGCAGAGAAGGGGGTGTCCCGTCCCCATGCCACCGCTGCCCGCCTGGGCTGGGGTGCCTTACCTTGGTGTGACCCGCGTGAGCTCGTCTGAAGGATGCAGGATGCGACAGGTGGTGAAGGTAAAGGTAGAGTTGGTCTGTGACATGCACTTCCCAGGGTGGTGCGCTACATTGGGGGGAACAAAACACATTCCTTGCATCCAAGTCTGACCACAACGCACATGAAAATCCAGCGCAGCCCTCGACAGATGCAAGAAGCAATGAGCTACCTTGTGAGCTGGATCTGGGCGAGGAAGGAGAAACGCACATGTTCTGGATGGAAGGTGGTCGCTCAAAAGGGACCACGGTTTTGAGCACTGGTCTGCAGAGCATCGAGTTCCAGCTTCCGGCCCATTCCAGACAGGGTCCCTCATCAGAATCCTGGGGCCAGTAGTGGATCCAGTTCCGGGCAGGGGGAGGTGCTCAGCTCGTGGGCTCTTGTGGGTAAATTTGGTTTCCCTCCTCAGAGGTCTGAACGCGCTCTCTTCTTGCGTTGTGCTACGATTCACTGCGTTGGCCAACAGGGGCCACACCTCTGCCCAGGGGGTAGGGAGAGGAGCGGGCAGGGAGGGCGCTTAGCACCTAGCAACAGGGCAAGGCTCAGCGCAGCTCCCTTTTCTGTGCACACAAAAAGGGGCCTGGGGAAGCTGGCTCCACTACTGGCTATTGCATGGTGATTGTCATGGTGGCATGGGAGGCTCAGCTGCCTGGACAACAACGTGGGAGAGTCCCGGGATCAAGTCTGGGGTAAGTGGCCCTGGTGTCCCTGCTCCCCACCCTCGCTGCTTTCTTGCCGTCTCCGGGATGTCTGACTTCTAAGAGAACAAACAAGAGACGGCAACCGCCTGCCTTCCATTTCTTTCCTTCTAATGCTCTCGACAAGTTGTTGTTAAGGCAGCTGAAACCTATGCTGTAGGACAAGGGAACTCAAAGAAGAGTCAGGCCCATGCCTTGGAGAGCTGGCAGAGGAGCAAGGTGTAGAGTGTGCGGGAGACATCATGATTGTAGAGGCCATTCTCATTCATAACTCAAGCATAACTCGGGGAAGGCGGGGGGGAGGGAAAAAATAACAGATGCTGCACGAAATAGCATGCAGAATGAAGAGCTGAGTGCGTCCCCGGCTCCCGGCCCCACCCTCTGCCCTGAAGCAGCTCAGCCCCCAGAGACCTCCTGGGAGCAAACTGATTTAGGCTATCAGAGACCATGAGGATTCAAAGGCCATCAAGATTCACAAGGCCATGAACCAGAATCTTCCAGCTCCTTATGGTGACGTTTCCTTTTGGATTTGACAAAAAGGAAAATACGACAGCATGGACTTGGTGGCCCGCACCTACAGATCCCCCCACGGCTGACTGTGTCTTCAAAGAAAACCAGAGGGGAACAGCAACAACAACAACAAAAAATGTTGGAGACACACAAGCTGAAGGCAGGCAGGACAATGCCAGGACACAAAAATGGTGTCAGTGCCTTCGAGGAGCAAGGCAGGAGTGACTTGCCCTGGTATGGTCTGACCCAGCTCTGTGTGTCGGAGGCGGCTCCCGTGGCACCTGCTGTGGTGGCCAGGCCCACGATCACAGAAGCAAACTCTCAACCACTGGGAGCTCCAAGCCAAGTGTGAGGTGGAGGAGGGAGGGGGGGAAGAAAAACCCAAACACGAGGGGAAAAAACCAGCCTTTCGGAATCTGTATTTCTCAACCAATACGTGTGATTGTTTAGAAACTTGGCTGAGAAAATGCTGCGAGCGAAATAAAAAGGGACGAAGCTATGAAGGGAAGGCAACCGAACAATCACGATTCTCTGCGATAAAGTCTAGAAACAAAAGCAACAAAAAGCCTGAGAAAAAGCAGAATACCAGGTGTGTGGGGTTATTGGGGAGGGAGGAGGTGGTGGTGGTGGGGAAACATTAAGGAGGAGGAATTAAGACAGAACAGTTGGAAAAGAGAGAGAACGTTAAAAGAAAAAGAAATCAAACGAAGCAAGACTGGATTTCAAAGTGGAAGCTCACCCCCATTGAAACACACAGCCAGGATATGAAATCAAAAGGTCCCCAATGTTCTCTCCCCGCACCCCCAGCCCAGCACGTATTAGATGCGTTAATTGCAACAGGTAGGGCAAGATGGACATCAGCAGAAGCAAAACCCATCTTGTACAAATGGGCTTGGGGAGAGGAAAAAGGCTGCTAAAAATGTAGAAGACACCATTCCCCGGGAGCAATGGATAGACCGAGAAGGCCGAGGAAGATCAACAAGTCTCAAAAGTGCCAGAGCCAGAGCCAGAGATTCGGCCCCTCCAAAATACCGCTGGGATGCCCGGATGCATCAGCTCTCCCGTGTCACCACAGACGGCTGGGCCGCTGCCGCACCTCCCTTCCTTGAGATATGAGAGAGAGAGTAAGTGGCGGGCGTGGGACTGGGCTGGCCCGAGGCTACCCCACTGCTTGTCACACAAGGTCAAGGGGCTCGTTCCTAAAAGCCCTTGGCATGCAAGTTCTAAAAGCCAAGAAGTGCCCTGAACATTCTTGGCTGGGAGTTAGGGGTCCATCCCTATAACTCTCCTCCTGAGCCACCAGCCCTCTGCAGGTTGATGACCAGTGCGCATCTCCGGCCGCCAGCCAGAAAGCACAGGGTTTGTTGCATTTAATGCTCCGACGTCGTACTTAAACCCTTGTTTTTTCTTTCCACCTGACCACAGGGCTTCAGAGCGTTACCAGATGGGCAGATAATAACCAGGCTTGAGTATGCACACTGACAGCTGCTTTCGGCATTTTATTTAGGAATGAGTTTGCATTTCTATCCATTAGAAAACTGTTCTCCAGGTACTGAGACTGGCACAACACCTGATCAGCTTTCAACTCCATGCATCCTTGTGCTCTAAGCTGGTGACCAGGGGCCAGCACACAAAGTTTTGTTTGTTTTGAAAACACAGCAACACGCAAGCACACACACAGCCTTCGGCTGGCTGCAGGTGCATGTGCAGGGGGGCTCTGGAAGGGACAGAGTTCCCTGGGACCCTGGCATGCCTTCTGCCCAGAGCAGGTGTGTTTGGTAAGTGGTGCTCACTTCCTGGAGACTACCATGCCTGGGACTGACCGGGAAAGCGGATGCTCAGGCTGGGACCCCCCTGGTGTGCCCAGACTCTCTATGGAGACTTGAGACATGGTCGGCATTCTGTCCATCTGGCCGGCCACAGGATAAAACCTGCACACAGCTGCTCACACACCGCATTTAATCTCACGGAGCTTTCCTCCCCCCATCGGCAGGGAAAGGCACGCGGGACCGTGCTGGGAAGAGACACTGTTGTCGTTGTTTAATCTAAAAGTCATCATAAAGTCTGGTCCTTTGGGAGAACGCCCACATGAGGCCACACAGAGACACCACACGGTCCAAGTGCCTCTGGCATGTTTCTGTGGGGAAATGGGACAGACACACGGATGGACGGACACACACACACACACACACACACACACACACACCTCTGCATCCAGGCCCTGCAAGCTCCATGTACAAATGCACCTGCCAGCTCAGCAAAGGGCGCCCTGCCTTTGGGATGCAGTGAGCACCTTCCTCCTTCCTTCCCTCTACTCGTCTCGGGCAGTGGCCAACTTGTGAAAATGAAACACTCCTGCCCTTTTAAAACTTTTATTTTTGCCTTTTTTTTTTTCACTTGAGGATGTGTGAAGCTGCTGTCACAGGACTTGGATTGGCTTGGCAAGTTTTTATAAATTCACGAACAACACACACACACACAATTTCAGCGTTTGTCCCCGCATAAACAGCAAGCCGCAAGACAGGCCAGCAAAAACAAACCTCCTGGGAATTTAAAACCACTGTCGACCCAGCTGGAAAGTGTGGCGTGAATCGAGCCGTAAGGACATCAACCTGTGGGTTTTTAAAATTTCAGCCTCCTGGCCGGCGCTGCAGATCAATAGGCTAATCCTCCACCTGCGGCGCTGGCACCCCAGGTTCTAGTCCCGGTTGGGGCGCCGGATTCTGTCCCGGTTGCCCCTCTTCCAGGCCAGCTCTCTGCTGTGGCCAGGGAGTGCAGTGGAGGATGGCCCAAGTCCTTGGGCCCTGCACCCCATGGGAGACCAGGAGAAGCACCTGGCTCTGGGCTTCGGATCAGCACGATGCGCCGGCCACAGCGCACCGGCCGCAGCGGCCATTGGAGGGTGAACCAATGGCAAAAAGGAAGACCTTTCTCTCTGTCTCTCACTATCCACTCTGCCTGTCAAATAAATAAATAAATAAATAAATAAATTCCGCCTCTAACGACCTCACTGCCTGCTGCTCATGGAGGAGGATGGAGAATGTTCTTGCCTGTGAACTCTGGGAGCAAGGGCTGCCTTTCCACTCCCCAGCAGAAGGCTGAACCCAACGCTTTCCAATCCTTCCTTAAAGACTCTTTTTTTCTGCCTTATCTAGCCGTGCCCCTAACTTTTTCTGGGATTAAAAAAACATCGGGGGTGGAGGGAGGGGCTGCACTGTGGTATAGTGGGTTAAGCATCTGCCTGCGGCGCCCGCATCCCATATGGGTGATGGTTCGAATCCCAACTGCTCCAGCTCCCTGCTGATGGCCTGGGAAAGCAGTAGAAGATGGCTCAAGGGCTTGAGCCCCTGCCCCAACGCGGGAGACCCGGAAGAAGCTCCTGGCTTTGGATCAGCCCAGCTGTGGCTGTTGTGGCCCTTTGGAGAGTGAACCAGTGGATGGAAGACCTCTCTCTCTGTCTCTTCCTCTCTCTGTCTGTAACTCTGCCTCTCAAGTAAATAAATACATCTTAAAAAAAAAAAAATTCCAGGATGAGTACAATTGGAGAAGGCTCCGTGGCACTTCTGTTTGCCCCAGGACGTGCTGCGAGGGCACCTACTGTGCCAGGGATTCCTGTGGCTCTGACAAGTGTTTTGCTTTCGGGGAGGGGCAGAGAGAATCAAACACACTTTTCAGAGTTAGCAGAGCAGCTGCGGGCTGTTTCTTTTCCTCTTGCATGAAAGCGAGTTGAGACCAGAAAGCTTGTATAAATCCAAGAGGGCACTCTTTAAGCCCTTGGTTTCAGGCTTCCCCGGGGCCCTGTAACCATTTTCGTCTGCTCCTTAAAATGTTTCTGGAACACAGGCCTTGTCTGGCCCTGCCGCTCTCTGGAGACCCCAGGACCGTCTAGTGATCAGACACCTCGGGCCAGCAGGGCCCCGGGGGTTCCGATCTCACAGACTGTGAGCCCCATCAGAAGAGCTGGCTGCTGCATGACTCATTTGCAGTTGCTGCAAAATTTCAAAGCCTGCTTTCTGACACCAAGCTGTCTGCCTGCGCTGTGTCTGCAGCATGGCATTTGAAAGACAAACAATTCCACAGCGCCATGTACACTGGGTCAGAAATCCCCTCCAGTGGCCACAGCTTATCTTGGTGAACAGAGAGAATTTTTTTTTTTTTTTTTTGGAATGCTATTAAAAAGTCCAAAGGGGGAAAATGCAAAACATTTCTTTGGATCCTTTGGATATCAACAAAGCAAGACCTCCTGCACTCTGTCCACTTGTCCCTCCTTCTGGGGCAGATACTGCCGGGCATGGGCGGCTGGCCTGGCTGGGACTCCTCCCAGCTCCTGCTTTCCAGGCTGGTCCCACAGGGCATGCCCCCAGTGCCGCTCCGCCTGGCAGTGCGGGGTCCAGCTCCTCCGAGCCTCAGCAACTGTGTGTTCCCTCAAGGGTGCCACACACCCACCCTAGAAAAGAGCCCAGCACAGATGCCAAAGCCTCAGCAATTCACGCGCGCGCGGGGTGGGGGTGGGGGGCTCCTGTGGCTTTCAGAGGTGAGGATGCCATAGAGACACGGCAGTGGACAGGCAGGCTTTGTTCTGGAACCGTGAGCGGAGTTGACTCTGCTGTTTGCTTTGGCAGAGTTGGTTCTCTGGTTCTTGGTTTATTTTTCCACTTCTGGGTTGCAGCTGGCTCATTTTGAGCTGGTTTAACACAATGCTAATAGAGGAGCCCAAGGGCTTCCTTAGTTAGCATCCCCTGAAACAGGTGGGTATGAGCCCGTGTCCACTCTGTCCACTCCGACCTATCACTCCTACAGAATCCAGGCTGGAAGCAAAGCGCTCCCATTAGCGGGAACTCACAGCTCTCTCGGTGGAGACATCGGAAGGCATTTCCCTACATCCCAGGGTCTGTGGACAGGTATACCAAACTTCCTTCCAGCTCCACAGGGCTCCTGGGTCAACCTTCCCTCACAATCCCATCTGGACCCCGCCTCTGTGCTGTGCAGTGGGACTGGGAGGGAGACAGGACACAGGCTGCAGTGGCTTTATTCCAGTTGGCCCCTGCCTTGAGATGAAGCTGCAAAACGGTGGTTTCCAGAACCTTCCGTCTACCTCCTTCCCAACACCAGCTCTTTTTCCCTTCCATCATTCAAGAATTGCTCCTGGACTGAACCTCAATCTATGTAGATAAAGAAGTGACCTGGGGCTAGTGCTGTGGTGCAGCAGGTTAATCCTCCGCCTGTGGCACTGGCATCCCATATGGGTGCTAGTTCAAATCCCGGCTGCTCCTCTTCCAATGCAGCTCTCTGCTGATGGCCAGGGATAGCAGTAGAAGATGGCCTACGTGCTTGGGCCCCTGCACGTACGTGGGAGACCCAGAGGAGACTCCTGGCTTTGGATTGGCCCAGTTCTGGCTGTTGCGGCCACTTGGGGAATGAACAAGTGAATGGAAGACCGTTCTTTCCCTCTCACTGTCTATAACTCTACCTCTCAAATAAATAAATAAAATCTTTAAAAAAGTGATCTAAGGAGCTGGCTCTTGGCTCCTGCCTCTGGTGACACAGGTGCTGCCCAGTTAGGGGATTTCTCTGGGGGTACTTTTGACCCAAAAGTGTGATTTTTGTCCTCTACACTGACCCTAAATATGAGCCAGCTCCCTTGCAGGGCCACTGTCTGATAAGAAGCCGTGGTTGGGGCCTGTGCCATGGCTCACTTTGTTAATCCTCTGCCTGTGGCGCCGGGCTCTAGTCCCGGTTGCTCCATCTTCCAGTCCAGCTCTCTGCTGTGGCCCGGGAGGGCTGTGGAGGATGGCCCAAGTGCTTGGGCCCTGCACCCGCATGGGAGACCAGGAGGAGGGACCTGGCTCCTGTCTTTGGATCGGCGTGGTGCACCGGCCATAGCAGCCATTTGGGGAGTGAACCCGCGGAAGGAAGACCTTTCTCTCTGTCTCTCTCTCTCTAATAACTCTACCCATCAAATAAATAATAAAAAAAATTTTTTTTAAAAAAAGAAGCCGTGGTCTGCTAGAATCAGTTTTCAGGTATTTCTGCCACATGCAGTGGTCTCCATGAGAGAGCACTAAACAGACTGCTCTTTAATTTCATTATTGGTGTTCATTCATCCCACCTCTTTCTCACCCTTAAGGATCCAGGCGTCCAAAATAATTCCAAATAATTCCAGCATTTCCCCCTACCAACTAGAAGACAGAATTCTCACAGGACATGACAATGACTGCTTCTGCTAGCGTGTGCTCCGTCTAGGAATCCAAACGCAAGGCAGGTCACTGAAATAAAGTAAAACTGTAACCTAAGAATTGTTTTAAAATCCATTTTAATCATCTAAATTAATTACAGCACAACAACAGAAAATCAGCCTTTTAAGACACGGGATTATCAAAATCAGTGAATGATGCTTCAAACAGTACATGAAAATCAGGCAGAGACTCAGAGCTCAACACTTCTCCATGGGATGCCAGAAGTGCCTACTACACAGTCTCACCCACCTCCTCCCATCACGCCAGTCTTCCAACGGCTTCCCCCTACTGACTCTTCCCACGCACAGGGTAGCTCCTGGGACTGTACCATTGGGCAACAGAAAGGCCCAAGCACTGAAGACCAGACCAAGGGGAGGGGCAGTCCATGACTGTACACCAAGGGCCATGTCTGGTCTCCAGGGTGACCTACTTGATGCTTACATTCCAAGCATCAAAATGGTTCTGTCATTCCCAGGAGGGAAAAAACACAAAACCCAGCCCGATCACTGCACACACTTTCCATCTGCATCGGACCTGGAGTCGCATGCAAGACCCAAAACCCACGTGTTGAAGATCAGCCCCTTACTAAACGCCCCTCGGCAGCCTAGAGAATGCCATCTCCATCACACGCCCCTCCCCCGACCCCTTCTACGGCTGCCGCCGTCAACATGCCTCTCTGCACATGAGGCTGCCGGGCTGAATTTGCTGCTGGTGGGGTCGTGAGAGAACCGCGTGTTAAGGAAAAGCAGCCTTGACTTGAGCTCTCCAAAGTGGTCCCCTCCCCGCCCTCGGCTCCTCCAATGAGAATTCTCTGTTGGCCTGATGAGCACCAGTTCTTCAGTGTTAATTCCCAAGCTGCACCTCACGGTGCTTCTTGGACCTTCCAGGGTTCTCTTCCTGTCCTACCCCTGAGGCTGCAAGGTGGGCGTCACACTGGCCACGATGCCCACCCTTTCAGCCACAAGAGCCTGCCAGACACCATGCTCCTGTCCCTGGCCTCCCTTCCAGATGGACAACAAAGGGGCTGTAAACCCGCAGCTGCTCGCCCTTTCTGGAGTGTGCAGACAGGGAAGGGTAAACAGTTTAACGGGTTTAACCTGGTAAATTAACTACCTTAAAAAAACATCTCAAATCATAAACCCGTGTGCTGAACAAACTCTTTCCACTGGGTGATTCCCCTAAAGTTTATGTCAAAGAAAAGCCAGTAGCACATCCACGTTCCTCGACCACAGCTGTCTGAAATCGGCCAGGGGGACTGGGGTCACCAGCAAGGTGGGCAAGGTGTGTGGTTTGGAGCAAGCAGCGGCCATGCTGCCCACAGCCCAGCCGGTTCCCTGAGCATCAGGTCTTCGTCCCAGCGGCCGCTGTGGGCTGGACCACTCTGCAAACTCATGGTCACAGCTCTAGTGCTTGTGGGGACAGGGCACGGGGTCAGCCCCATGTCTTTTCAAGATTCTTGTAGCACCCTCTCTCGGGAAGAGCCTCATGGCACGGGCTAGGGCTCAGGAGGCTGTGGAGTATTCTTAACACACTTGTCAACAACCCGCTGGTGGGGATAGAGCAGTGCACACCCCTGTGCTGCAGGCCGGAAAGGGAGGAAGCTGACCTGTGGAGTGTTGTCTGAGGCCTGAGCATTCCCTGGGCCTCTTTCTATTTGGATGGAGGTCAGGGATTGTCTGGGTCACCTGCTAGCAGACCCAGTGCTGGTCACTGCCCTAACACTGCCCAGCTCAACTCAGACAGGTTTGGAGCTCACCAGGGGTCTTGAGAATCTGCCCCTTTGGCCGGCGCCATGGCTCACTAGGCTAATCCTCCACCTTGCGGTGCTGGCACACCGGGTTCTAGTCCCGGTCAGGGCGCCAGATTCTGTCCCGGTTGCCCCTCTTCCACGCCAGCTCTCTGCTGTGGCCAGGGAGTGCAGTGGAGGATGGCCCAAGTGCTTGGGCCCTGCACCCCATGGGAGACCAGGAGAAGCATCTAGCTCCTGCCATCGTATCAGCGTGGTGCCCCGGCCGCAGCGGCCATTGGAGGGTGAACCAACGGCAAAGGAAGACCTTTCTCTCTGTCTCTCTCTCACTGTCCACTCTGTCAAAAAAAAAAAAAAGAAAAAAAAGAAAGAAAGAAAATCTGCCCCTTAGATGGGGGTGGGTTCGGGGTTGGGAAGAAGGGCACTGGTGTTCTCAGGGGACCCCAATAATCCACTTCTTTTTAGCAGCCTTTCCTGCACCCTGCACCTCCCCGCTTCGAAGCCCTGTAAGGCCATGCACCTCCAAGATGGGCAGGGAGCTACACCCATCTGTTACAAAAGAGAGGCATCGGATTCTGTGTTAAAAAAAAAAAAAAGAAAACAGAACAAAACAGAGCCGCACAACGGGAATGCCTTTCGTGGTCACCCACAGAGACGAGCGGAAGCCACAGACAGAGAGCCGCTACGGATGGTGCTCGGGACAGACGTGAGAATGGCCCAGAACTGCGCCTCCGGGGAAGGTGCCAGGTTTACAGGACGGACGGCAGTGCCCTCACCAGACCCCTCCTCCTCCTCCTCCTCCTCCTCGGCCGCTGGCGGCTCCTGCATCTCCTCTGGGGAAGCCTGAGGCCGGCTCGGGTAACTTCTGCTGCCTGAGACAGTCACGCGTGCTCGGAACGTCTCACCTGAGGTCTCTGGGTGCTGCACTGGCGTGGAGGTAGCTAGGCCCGGGGGAGAAATGTGGTCACCTGTGTCGTCTTCTTCGAAGTCGTTAAGGCAGTACACTTCGTCTAGGTCAACGTCCAGCGTCCGGAAGCCCTTGGTGACTACACCGGGCCGGGGGTCCAAGATGCCCCCCAGGTGAGGCTGTGCCAATTGCTGCCAGTGGTGGAGAGTGGCAGAACCTGGTGGGAGAAGAGGGAGAGAGGGAGGGGGACAGGGAGAAGAGAGGGTTAGGCTGGGGGCTGAGGACGGCGGCTGTTACCACCCTCACAGTGCTGGCGGGAACCCCGGCAGGGCCTGAGCCCACACAGGTGGACTATGGGGGAGGGGCCCCTGGCAGAGCTGCCTCGGCTCTTCGCATTAAGGAATGGTAGCCAGTGCTCTACCATGCCCGGAAGGGGCACCAAGGTAAGGAATTAACAATTAATCTCTTTAAGAAAGTAAAATGAACGCCATAGATTATACCGAGGATGTTTGGCAACAGTGTCTTTTATTTTTCATCAACTAATGTCAACCCCCAAATTCAACACATTTTCATCTCATAAAACAGGAGAGGGAAAAACAGCAAGGCAGGTACATGGGGTGGGCGTGGGCCACGGCTCCCGACTCTGTGCACGGAATACACACTGCTGGCAACGGGGAACACCTAAGTTCTGGCAGAACCTGAGACTCTGCCCAACCGACCCGTGGTCACCCACGGGAGCAGAGCAGGAAGCACCCAGACCTCAGCGGAAGGTGACCGCTGTCCCCTTTGACTCAGGCGTTCTGGATTCTACCGAGCCACCTGTAGAGGCTGCAGGGCGAGGCAGAGGGGATCGGGTTAAGGACGTGTGACTTCACAACACAGAGGCGGCCACACAGACATCCAAAGCCCAGGACCCCATCTGCCTGGAGACACCAGACCCCGGGACTCAGATGACACCGTGAGCTCTGTGGCAGCCGCAGAGTGTGTCCCCAAGGCAAGCTGCTGGCACCAGCAAACATCCTTCCAGACTTCCCTGGGAGCACCGGGGATGACAGGTACCAGCCACCTGGGGAGTCAGGGACCAGGCGGCAGTTGGGGTGGGAGGAAGACAGCAGTGCAGGCCCCCGCTGTGCCCGGTGAGCTCCCCACCTGCAAACACCACTAGCAAGGGACTTCTGGGACACTCTCAGGCAGAGGGTCTCGAAAAGATTTTGTCAACGGGCAATGTCAAATGCATTTAAAAGAAAGCAAGAATTGTACACACCGCCAATGCATGTCTAAAGTAGTCCCAGACACCTGCCTCGAGGCCTGTCCTGGTTTCCAGTGGGTACAGGTGCACCAGCACCCTGCCTAACCTGCACCCACTGAATCTAAACACACAGTGCTTAATGCAAAAAAGATAAAGAGGTGACTATAATCAAACAGGGCATCCCACACCCAGTGACAAGAGCAGTTCATTCTCAACCTAAGAGGACTCTGCACCCCCGGGCCCCAGGGAACATTTTGCTTCGTGGTCACAGGTGTGGAGGAACAGAGACGCTAATGGCATCAGTGGGCAGAGGCCAGGGGTGCTATCAAACACCCCCACAAGCACAGCACAGCCCCCATACCACCCCTGCCCCAAATGTCAGTGGTTCCAAGGTTGACAACTCACACTCTGGAGTTGTGGTTCCCGATTCGCAGTTCCTTCTAGAATCTGAAGGAAGTTGCAGATCCTTTCCCCAGAGAGTGCTTGTGTGCCAGCAGCACTAGGCAGACACAACCAGGTCTTTGTGGAGCTGGGGAAACCACCGGGTGGGCTCTCGGTGCCAGGGGCCAGAGCGTTGTTGCTTTACAAGGCTGCTAGCCCACGTCCAGGCACTCCTGTATGGCAATGAACTCTCTCCTCAAAACCAACCAAGGAAGTAATACTACCTACACTTCACAGGAGGCTCCCTGGAGTGCGCTAACTTTCTCAAGTTGCTGAATTAGCACTGGCGTCGCCAGGGTTCAGAGACAGAGGCCAAATTCAGTAATCTCAGGCCGATCCCTGGCTGCCCTCAAATCCACAGGGCTGAGGACAAGGACACCAGGATTCTAGCCAAGAGCCCAGACCAAGGAAGCAGCCGTGGCTGGCCCCCAGGGTCAGCAGCACAACTCCCAGGAGGGCGTCCTGGAGCCCCCAGCAAGCGACACACGCATACTCCTGCTGGTGGGAGTTGCCGGCCACCCCAGAAGTTCTACACTCATGCTAAGGAGCTAAGGAGGCAGGCAGTGCACAGATAACACATCTGCAGCTTTCAAATCCCACGGGAGGGAGGTTGTCGCACCAAGAAAATAGTCCAAGGCTTGGCCTCCCCCTGGTGGACACTCAGTTCAGCACGCACTGCACCTGCAGGGCGCCACGCCCCCTGCTCAGCTCAGCACGTGCTGCACCTGCAGAAAGGCGTGGGGTCTCCTGCATTCCTGGAAGCTGCACAGTGCGAGGATGGGTCCTGCTTGGACCTGTACCCCACGCCCTGGGCATTTCTGCCTTGCGAGGGTCTACGTTTACAGCTTATTTCATTTTCACGATGGCTCTGCCGGCTCCACTTTACAGATGTGGAAACTAAGCCAGGAGAGGTACAGGAGCTTGCCAGAGGCTGCGGGGTTGGTAAGTGAGACGACTTGGGGGCAAAACCAAGGCTGGCTGCAGCGTCTGCTCCCTTAACCACACGCGCTTCCCTTGACACTACAGGGCGTCCGAGTGAGACGTCCACGTGGCCCGCGCCTTAGTGAGAGCCACGGTTGGTGTGCTCACGGCTCCTCTTCCCCAGCCTCTACTTGTCAAACACCAAGTGGACAACCACTGTACTCTCAGCTGTCTCTCTCTCTCTCTCTCTCTCTTTTTAATCAGTTCAACTAAGACCTGTCCACTCCTCCCACCCACATAGCAATGAGGCTGGGGCTAAGGTCAGAGACAAGGAAGGAAAGGCCTCTTGGTGTTCCTGGTTAGCACCAAGGTAGAATTCTATGGGGTCAGGGCACAGAGAGTGGGGAAACCCTAATGACAGTCACTGCCCCTTGCCTTCCGCCTGCTTTCCTCCCAACATTCCCATTGAAGTGTTTTCGCATCACCAAAAGGGGAGAACACTGGGGTTTCAACGTCAGAAGGAAACCTACTGGCCCGTGTGCAGTTAGAAGTGCACGCGGGTCCCTAATTGCACAGTAGCCTATTCGAAATACCAACTGGATTCCAACGAAAAGATGAGCAAAACAGGGAAATACCGCCCGCCTCTGTTTGTTCAATGCAGACATCTGAATTGCTTGTTCTGCAAACTCCTAAGGTCAGATGAAGAGACAAGAGAGCTAGCATTTCTTAAACACCCAGCTCGGCCGGTCTTGGCTGACACAATAAGCAGATGGTAAGAGTAATTAAACAGATAAGGGAGACAGAGATGTTAGACACAGATTGGCTCTCTGCAGGGATCCCAGCCGACAGTCCCTAGGGGCCTCACCCCAGGTACCTTTACCTGGGCTGCTAGAGAATGGGGTGGGAGTGGGGCGGGGTGTGATGGAAGAGGAGGATGCAGGAACAGAACCCCGCAACGGTCAGTTGACACTTGCAGGCCTGCACTGCTGCAATGCCTGCCAGTCTCGAATGAACAAGCTTTTACCAAGCACCTGCTGGGTGCCTGGCATGATACGAAACACATTCCATTTACTCCTCCCCAGAATCTTGTCTGACAGCTGTGAGTCGGCCTCACAACAGACTTTACGGGGCTCAAAAGGTGCAGTGGTGCAGCCAGCAACCACGGGCCAGGGCTGCCGAGAGCCCACAGTTGGGCGGGCTTCCATGTCAGCACCCCGCCTTGTCATGACACACGCAGTGACCCACACCAACGAACTAGGGTGGAGGCGTGGGAGAGCTGTATTTCACACTGCTGAGGAGTTGAGAGAACTACAAAATGGAGTCCAGGGGATCCGTATCGTGAGGCTGTGTTGCAGGCCCCGTGATAACACACGACTTGTGAACGGTACTGGCTTAGCCTCCTGGGGCGCCGAGAACCACACGTGAAAGACATCTTGCACATCTAACAGGATTTCCTCTCACTCTATTAACTTATCACAGAAACACTGCCACTGAGGTTACCCGGGTAAAAGGAAGAAAGATGAGTCGGTCAAGCAAACTTTTTTTTGAAAAAAAAAAAAAAAAAAGCTCTTCCTGTCATGTGCTCGGAAAATGAAATAAAACACGAATTCTTAGGGGATCTGACCAAGCGCACAAACACACATGAGGTTGAGATGAGAAGGTCCAATGGGCTTTGAGAGACAAAGGAAGAAAAAGAAAAGAAAGGCAGAAAGGAAAAATTGCAGAAATGGAAGATTTTATTGAAAGAAAAACAGACACAGCCGTGGATCAGAAAACAATCGCCAAGCTTACAAATGGGATAAACAATTTAAAAAGAGTCATCCCTTCCCTGTTACCTAGGAAGGACTAAAAAAAAAAAACAGTCATGAAAACAGAGTAGCGGCCGGACCTGTTCCTTCGAAGAACAGGGCACCCGGGCAGGTCTTTGGTGTTTAAGCAGCACCACCTGGTCTCCCAGTGCACATCCCAGCAGGGGACAAGGCTGCCTCCAAAGAGACAAGCCCGTGTGACACCTCTCGGGCACGGTGCCAAGATACACATGCAATGCAGAAGTAATGCAACTGCAGCTTTAAAACCTCATGGGGCAGGGGGTGAGATTAGACGGAGGAGAGTTTTTTCAAAGCCAGAAAATACAGTCCTACAGAAATTCCGGTGTGGCTTTGCGTGGGAAATGTAACAGAAAACAGAATTCTCAACACCTTCTCAAGCTCGCATGGGTTTCCAAAGGAAAGGAGGAAAAACCAAAAACTGCAAAACACTTGGGGGTGGTGGTGGTGGTGGTGGTCTTGGCAGGGTAGCAGGAGGTCAAGGCTTCATATTTCATAACGCAAAAATGAAAGCAAAAAAAAAAAAAAAAGAAAAGAAAAGAAAAAAATGGAAGGAAGGTGGCGAGTTTTCCCACTAGTCTGATCATCTGCAGAGCCCCCGACACTTGAAAGGGGGTCGTCCCTAGGAAAGTATAGCTCCAAGGCTTGGCCTCTGCCTGGTAGGCACTCAGCGGGGGGCACTTGCTGCACCTGCACAGCGCCACGCCCCCTTCATGTGATGCACCAATCAGAACGTGGGAGCCCACGAATCACAGCTCCCTAACCCAGGGGCCGAAGTGCGGAGCCCCTGCCCTGCCCACGGCCCCAGGCCTGACCCTCACAGGAACTCGAACCAGCAGCGCGGGTGGCTGTCGCGGAAGAAGAAGGAGTAGGTGCTACAGAGGGGGCCCGCGGCCGGGTGGTGCATCAGCGACCACAGGGAGTCGCCCAGGAGGACGGAGAGGGGCCGAGGCCCGCTGCGGTCACCTTCCAGCGGCTTCACGATCTGCAGCTTCTCCGGCAGGTACGAGCGGCTGCTGAACGACATGCCCGAGAAGCCCGTGAGCTCGGAGAAGCGCGAGTGCGCGCCCAGGGACATGATGCTGTCGGTGGGCGTCAGCGAGCCGCTGCGCAACTCGCCCTTCTCCGCCAGCTCCCGGAGCTTCCGCTCCTGCTCCTCCTCGAAGAACCTTCTCTCCGACAGGTAGTTCTCCCGGCGCAGCGACAGCCGCCTCAGCGCCGTCTCCAGGTCGTGGGAGCCCGGCGTGCCCGGCGTGCCCGGCTTCTTAGTGCGCTGGTCTCTGCGGGGAGATACGACACGGGGCGGCGGTGAGCGCGCGGCGTCCAGCAGGGGGCGCCAGAGACCGCCATGGCGCAAACAGGTGCCTACCCAGAACACTTGGGCGGGCTTGGGGTGCTCGGTTTATTTTATTCTGGGGCAAAGACGGGTAAGGGGCAGTGCCTAGGCTCCCTGCACCCATCCATCCTGCCAAACCACACCAGAGACGGGGTCGTCCTCAGTCTAGCAACCTCCAAGCCACAAAGAGGCTCACAAAAGCAACCAGGCTGTGGCCTAACAGTGTTGATTAGGAGGAAAAAAAATATATACACAAATACACCCGCACACATATATACACATACACTCATTCAGCCTCCCTTTCGGTGGTTTACAGAAAAGCAGGCTTCAGCCATCATCCCGTTCCACCCCTTCAAGCTGGTTAAGAAATCGGAATCACCACCAGGCATGACTGAGCAGGTCAGCCAGTGGAATGGCTCCGGAGCACTGGAAGGCTTGCATTTATCAGGTGACCCCCATGCACTTGCCCCCGACGGTGACCCGTGTGCTGTCCACACTGCCTCCCCTCTCCCCAAGACAGGACGCCGGGGGCGCCTGGCTTGCTCACCCCAGCTCGGCTGCCTCGGTCTCCAGGATGATGCTGTTGGTCTTGTTGTCAAGGGTGACGCTGCCGACGTCACTGCCATAGAAGCTGGACCGGGGGGTGCTGACGCAGCTGGACAGCAGGGAGTTGATGGCCGAGGACTGGTTGGAGCCGGGGATGTTCATGGGGGAAGGGGTCAGAGACCTCTGCTTGACCACTTGGTTGATGCTTCTCACCGTCTCGAAGACTCGCTTCTGGTGTCTGGGGAAGAGGCACGATGACGTCCATGAATGAGCAGGGGCCGGGCTGACGTGGGAATTCAGATGACTGGCTGAGAGGCCAGCAAGGCAGCCGCCCCATGACTGGCCCCCAGGGAGCCTGCTCCCCTGTGCCTTCCATCACTGCCTTTGTGGTGCAGAACACTCACTAAACCCACGACTGCAACCCATGTGCAGTGCAGAGCAATGCGATGGCCATGCAACTCCTAAAAGTGCCGCTAGCAGGAATGACACTGCTTCTCACATCCCTAAAGCTTGGCCTGCAAATAAAAATGCTTAGCCCCTACTTTGCTCTCCCAGCTAGCTTTTTTTCATGATATCCATGGGAAAGCTCCATGCACACTCCATGGCACTTAACAAATAGTTGCAGAACAGTATGTGTCGATTCTCCATGTACCTGAAAAAGCAAAGCTTAAACTTCTCCTAGTAGACAATATAAATACCAGGTTCGCCATTTCTGAGACTCAGCGGAACCACCCTTTTGAGGTTAATTTGTTCTCTTTTAAGGAGAAAGGGCTGTTTCCACAATGGCTGCTTCCTTCAAGGCTACAGATCTGCCATGGCTCACCTGGACACCTGTCACTCCTGAGTCCTGTCTACGGAGTTTGGGTACAGAGCAAACATGATGGAACCTGGTCCACAAGTTTCTTATCAACACCTTGGGGCAGGCTGTGTGCAAGATCTGAATGAAGTTATAGGAAGAGAGATGGAGACGCTGCTAGCCCAGGGTGTACCCAGAAAGGAAGCGGAAGCCTTGCTCATCAGCCCTGAAAGAGCCCTCTGTTTTCATGCTGTTTCCTTCACCGCTGTTTTCCTTTTCTTAGCAGATGTTAAAGATCAGTGGGGCCAGTGTTGGGGCACAGCAGGTAAAGCCACCAGCTGCAATGCTAGCATCTCCTATCAGAGTGTTGGTTCAAGTCCTCACAGTGACTTCCACTCCAGCTTGCTGCTAATGTGCCTGGGAAGGCGACGGAAGACGGCATGGCCCAGGTGCCTGGGCCCAGCCATCAGTGTGGGGAACGCGATGAGTTCCTGGCTCCTGGCTTTGTCTTGGCCCAGTCCGGGCCACTGCAGGCATTTGAGGAGTAAACCAGAGAATGGAAGCGCTCTCTCTCTCTCGCTCTCTTCCTTCCTTCATCTCTCCCTCTCTCTCCTTCATCACTCTGACTTTGAATTAAATTAAATAAAATAAGTGCTGTTTTCTGCCAAAAAAAAAAGTGCAGTTGTGTGAAGACAGAGCTGGTATTCAGAGATGGGAACCCGTGTCCCTCCTGGCTCAGCTCTCCGGAGGTTCATAATGTATCTGCAAGACCTCACACAAGGAGCGGGGAGCGGGGGGTGGGGGGTGGGGGGCCGGCTGCCAGCTGTGCTCTATGCCTGTTTCCCTTAACCTGGCCCGGGAGGGACTGCGGTCGGTGCTGCGGGGGTCCAAGGCTCCGACACTGCTGGGTTTGACCACAGGGCACAGGGTGGTCTCGGGGAGCTCAGGGTTAGAAAAACCGTGCAGCCGTACGTGATGTCGGGAGACTCCGGCTCTTCCAACTGCAGCTCCTTGCGCATGGTGCCCTCGATCTCTGCTGCCAAGGAGTCCTGGGAAAAGCCAGAAGACACAGGGAGTGAGTGGCGACCCCAGAGCTGTGCCTCTGAGAGGGGCGTGCAGGCCGGGGAGCCACTCCCCGCCTCCCGGCTACCCACAAGGTGAGGTCCCCTCCCTGCCGACTAGCCATCCACCTGCTCATCGCGCTGAGCAGTTTTGTCCCGTGGAATCCTGCACTGCCTCCCCCACAGACCCCAAACAGCCGGGTCCTTGCCAGTTTTCTGAATGGTTCCCTCATTTCTCTCTCTGGGGAGGTCATGAGCTTTGGCTGCTCATGTCCCAGTGGGCCAGGCCCCAGGATTAGACTCCACCTTCTGCACAGCCATACTCCTCTCTCTGAGACAGAGCCTAACACGCAAGTCCTGCCTCCCGCGGAACTGAGGCAGTCAGGTGCCCCCAGAAACGCACCTGCTGAGCACCAGAGCTGAACACCCACGGAGCACAACCTAAAGGGAAGGGCTACAACCGAGGTAACCCAGAGAATTTCCCGGGACGGTGCCGTCGTCCTCTGTCCGCAATGTCCCGCGTGGGAGCCACTCGCCACGGCTGGCTGCAGAAGCCCTGGAGCCGTGCTGGCCAGCGTGACTGTGGGACTGGCTTCTTCACTCTACTTCATTCTAAATGATGTAAGCTGACATGGCTGCAGGTGGCCAGTGGCTGGCCAGCAGGCAGGGTATGGGGACTGCACACTACCCGTCTGCCCATCAGGCACGAGCACCGGGAACACAGCTGAGCTCCTCCCTGTTTTACTCAGCAATTTCAAGGGCAGGGAGCAGGAGAGCCTTAGAAAAGCAGCTGCAGGGCCGGCGCCGTGGCTCAATAGGCTAATCCTTTGCCTGTGGCGCTGGCACCCCGGGTTCTAGTCCCGGTCAGGGCGCCGGATTCTGTCCCGGTTGCCCCTCTTCCAGGCCAGCTCTCTGCTGTGGCCAGGGAGTGCAGTGGAGGATGGCCCAAGTGCTTGGGCCCTGCACCCCATGGGAGACCAGGATAAGTACCTGGCTCCTGCCATCGGATCAGCGCGGTGCGCTGGCCGCAGCGGCCATTGGAGGGTGAACCAATGGCAAAGGAAGACCTTTCTCTCTGTCTCTCTCTCTCACTGTCCACTCTGCCTGTCAAAAAAAAAAAAAAAAAAAAAGCAGCTGCCACCGTCAGACTGCTCTGAATGCCTTTGTGGGTAACACATCTTAAAATCCCCACCTTCAGAAAGGAGGAAAGGCTAATAAAGGCTTTATCTCGGCAAACAGGAAAGCTGAGAAGCCCTCCGGAAGAAGCGGACATGCAGACTTTCAATTGGCCTTTTCTTATGTGAGGGTTTAGTTCTCAAAGACAGATTTGTCCTTGACAATGAGAAACACAGCAGAGTGAAGATGGCCCCAGGAGCTCGCTGCATGCCAGTGAGAAGCCAGCAAGGGAGGAAGGCAGGCTGGCAGAGCCTGCTAGGATGCCCGGGCCAGACTGGGAGCCAAGGGTCCTCGGTGCAGGCGGGGATAGAAGGGAGGCGGGGGATGTTCTCTGCGGCTTTCCCTGGGGTGGCCGCTTATGTGATGCGTCCCTCTCTGTGGCTCCCCTTCAGTGTCAGTCAAGTTTCTTAGAGAGACAGAAGATGCTCCAGCCTGACTTCGAGGTGTGACAGCAAAGAAGAAAAAGAGATGACGACGAGCAGTCTGGGCTGTGAGCACAGGGTGCATCAGGGCTCAGAGACAGGACGTGGATGGATTTGGACAGGATTTTGCCAGCATTTATGCAGTCACCCACTCTATCTCATTTCGGGGAGCTTCTCCCAAAAGCTCTTCACTCCTCACAATTGGTATCCATGAAACCACAGAGACAGAGCCTGACTATAAAGGAGTTCTTGGTTGTTTGTCCTTCTGGCCATCTGGCCATCATCCATCCATCTATCTACTACCCACCCATGCATCTGTCAATCATCCGTATCTACCAATCCTTCTACCCAGCATCCATCCATCCACCCAAATGCAGAATCTATTAAACATAGTACCTGCTACACATCTGTGATACCGAGTATTACGGAGAGGGAGGGAAGAAAATCACAAAGCAGCCATGGACCCCATCTGGTCTGAGCGCAGAGGAAGCGGGCAAGCTCATTCACCTCTAACCAAATGCTATAGGGTGGGGGGTGGTGAACCGGGGGTTCAGCCCTGTGTTGCAGGTTAACTGCCTAGAACATTCCCTTCTCAACTACATTCCCTTAAAGCCCAAGCTTGAAACAATCAGGACAAGGCTGACGAAGCAAGACTGTGGGGAAAGCATATAACAAGCATAAAACATCTGGCCCGTGGGCAGTGCGAGGCCAACACCATCCTTTGGTCTGGCCCTGCCAAGGCAACTGCAGGCAGCACACGGAATTCCCTAATTCTGCAGCAGGCTGCGTTTTAAGCTGATTCTGTGTGGCCTGTGAGTGATGTTAAAGATACCCACACGGCGCCTGGCAGAGAAGAGGTTCCCCACCCACGAGGGATGGGAAGTAAGCGACCTGACTGCCACGGGTGATTACGAAGCCACCGGCTGGGTGCATGTGCCCAGGCACCGGACCCAGATCCACACCGGATCCGAAGACCCAACCGCAGAGGTCAGGATGGCGGACGCGGCCGTGCCCTGGCGAGGAGCCCCGGCGCCCAGCTGGCTCACCATGGGGAAGAGGCCCAGCGAGTGGTAGCGGCGGGACGTGGTGTTGGGCATGGTCTTGTTCCGGAGGTTCTTCAGCTCCTCCTGAGCCTCGTGCAGCATCTCCATGCACTCTGCATACTTGTCCTCCAGCTCACGCAGCTGCGGGGACCAGGGAGGACGCAGTGAGCAAGGCACGAGCCCCCGGGCCTGCGAGACAGCAGCGATCTAACTGGGTTCCCCTCCCCCGGCCCGGGGAACAGGCCACCCCGTGGGTGCCCAGGGCTGGCTTCTCCTGGGGGCGAGCTCACAGACTCAGAAATCCCCCGCAATATACGGACAATGGGGTACGGAGTCAACAACAGCTGTGCGTGGAAGAGAAAGCAAAGCCAGCATCAGCATATCCAGGGCTGAAACCGCGTCCTTGAACCTGGCAGTGTGTGTGCTGTGGGGACAGTGACAGGGGCAGCCTGTGCAGGCTAGGCCCTGGGCAGGGAGAGAGCCCAGCATCCTGCGTGGGCACAGAACCATCCATAGTGCAGCTGGGAATTACGTTACAACTCAGACGGAATGAAATGCAGTGTTAAAATGGTCAAAATGGATCTGCCGAATGCCCGCCCACCTAGGGAGTCTGTGATGCACCTGCTCGGAACCGGGGTCCCTGCAGAAAGCAGAAAGGGCCCCTCACCTCGGCTGTGAGCTGCCGCTGGGCGTCCTTTGCAGCCCCTAGGTGCTGGACCAACTCCTCATTTTCCACCGCACACTAAACCATGACAAAGAGAAATCACTCGCTCTTCTAGGAAAGAAACTTAGGTAAGCCCGACTTGACCTGATCCGTTAGAATTACCACCGATCTCCTCTTGTCTACCATGCAATGTCTATCCCACTCTGGGGTAAAATTTTGTGCGATGTGATTTTTGACGGCCAAGTCTTCCCTATGCCCCTGCTCATTCTCTGCAGCCCACCCTCCACCCCCGAAATAACAGCTTGTTCTCCAGAAGCCTCTCATCTCCCACTTATAGCACAGGCCCAGCAGGGGTCACTAAACTGCTTGGAACAGCTCCAGCTTCAATATAAAGGGGACCTGGCTCTACTGTAGAAAGAACCAGGAGGGCCCGGTGCTGTGGTGCAGTGGATTAATGCCCTGGCCTGAAGTGCTGGCATCCCAGCTGCTCTTCTTCCCATCCAGCTCTCTGCTATGGCCTGGGAAAGCAGTAGAGGATGGCCCAAGTCCTTGGGCCCCTGCACCTGCATTGGAGACCTGGAAGAAGCTCCTGGCTCTTGGCTTCGGATTGGCGCAGTTCCAGCCATTGCAGGAGTGAACGATCAGATGGAAGACCTCTCCCCCCCACCCCTGCCTCTCCTCTCTCTGGGTAACTCTGACTTTCAAATAAATAAATCTTTTTAAAAAAAAAATTAAAACATTAAAAAAAAAAAAAAACAACGAACCAAGGATACTAAGCAAAAGCAGAAACACTAAGCCAGATGATTCCTAAGTCAAGGTCCCAAACTCCACATCCACAGCTCCTTTCTTAATGGAATCTATTCATCTGTAGGTTATGCACAGGAGACAGGGGTCCTAAGTAAGACCCCGTGCCAATTCAGGCCAGCCAAGTTCATCTTACTGAGTCCACAATGCTGTTCCCCCAAAACAGCAGTTCAAATGCCCAAGACACGTAACTGTCTTCTAGAATAGTAACTGCCCCTTCTGATCTCAGCATGGCCACTGTGGCACTGGCCAGGGAAGCGGAGACCACTTACAGCCTTCGCCTTTTTCTGTAAATCGACAATCTGTGACAGCAGGTGTGTGATCTCCTCCTGCTGGCGGGCAGCGTCCTCGGTCTTCTTGGCCAACTCCTCCGAGATGCTTGCGATCTGGGCATTGGCGTCCCCTTGGCCAAAGAGAGGACGATAACAAGTGTGAGTCAAAAACCACGCAGGTTGGGGCCTGGCACTGCGGCGTGGCAGGTAATCTACTTGTAATGCCGGCATCCCAATAGTTCATGTACAGCCGCCTTACTTCCCACCAGCTCCCCTGTGAGTGGCCTGGGAAAAGCAGCAGAGGATGGCCCAAGTGCTTGGGCCCCTGCACCCATGTGGGAGACCTGGATCCTGGGTCCTGGCTGTCGCACTCTAGGGAGTGAACCAATGGATGGAAGATTCTCTCTCTCTCTCTCTCTCTCTCTCTCTCCTTCTTTCTAGCTTCTAACTCTGTATTTCAAATAAATAAATCCATCTGTATTCAAAAAAAAGAAGCCCATGCAGGCAGATCCACACAGGCTGGCTTCTCTGTGGCTTGCCCAGGAAAAACCATCACTCTGAGAGAGTAACAGGAGTGGAGGAAGTGCGTGAAAAAGGAACTCACGGTGACCAAGCAACGTGGGCTCTTCAGGGAAGGCACCCAGCTATCACTCTCAGGCATGAGGAGGGAGCCGTCTCCCCAGGGAGAATGAGGCAGGTCCCAGGAGTCAGCTAGGAGGTGCCGCACTAACCCTGGAGGCACCTGGCTGAGCCCTAAGACTTCACACAAGAACGAATCCATGTAGCTAAGAGGAGGCAGGAGGAACTCCTGCTGAGCCCTGCTGGGGGAAGCAGCGACCACTGGTGCAGTCCCCCGGGTGCCCCCCCACTCAGAGCCGGAACTCTGCAGTGGATTTGAATGTGGGGTGGGTTTCACTTGCTTGGTGCTTTTGCTGAAACACAACATAATGAGTTGGCCCTTTTGTCCTAACTTGCAGGCTTCTAACAGAGACAGCACAGGGGAAAAAGGAGCTTATTTGAAAAGCTGAGGTCTCAGACCTCGACTTTTACAGATCAAATTCTGAGCAAGCGTTTTTCCCTACCTCCTCCACATGCTAATAAGTCCAGAATTAAAATTAAGCATCCATCTCAGCAAGAAATTAAGATCCTGGGTGGCTGACACCCAGCATCCAGTCCACAATGTGAGAAGGGGTGGGTGCACCACATGAGGCCAAGGGAGGCAGCCTCTCATCTTAGGAAAACCACAGCAGAGCTGCAGAGTGGCAGGGAGAGCGCCATTTTCCAAGGGTGATGAGCGGGCACCATGGCGGCAGGTGTTAGGGAGTAGAAAGTGGGGTAAGGAGGGAGTAGAAAGTAGGGTAGGGTGGGAGTATAAAGTGGGGTAAGAGGGAGTAGAAAGTGGGGTGGGGAAGGAGCAGAAAGTAGGGTAAGGAGGGAGTAGAAAGTGGCATGGGCGGGAGTAGAAAGTGGCGTGGGGCTGGAGTAAAGTGGGGTAGGGTGGGTGGGTAGGCAGGAGTAGAAAGGGACGTGGGCGGGAGTAGAAAGGGGTGCGGGCGGGAGGGCCCGGCGCGTACTCAGCTCCTTCACGCAGTCATTGACCAGCTGCTGCTCCTTCTCTTCGTAGGTGATGGTCTCTGTCTTCAGCTGGCAGGCCTGCGGACACGACTCAGGTCAGAGCCCAGCACTCCCACCAGGACAGGTGGGGCGGGCCAGGGCTGAGGCGTGCAGCATGGGCTACCCTGTGTCTGGGAGGCCAGCCTTCAGCACCTCCCCCACTATCACACACCCACCAAGTGCAGCTAGTTGATCTGAATGCCCAGACGCCACCTCCGTGGATGGCACGGGCACCAGGGCTACCCTGGCCCGGGGCGGCAGAGCGGGGCCGGGGCTGCGCGTCACCTCGGATCGCAGCACGACGTTCTCCTCTTCCAGGTCCTTGAGCTTCTTTTGCAGGGAATCCAGGTGGAAGTAGTTCTGTACGGAGGAGGAGGACTCGTTCCTCTTCAGCCTGGGGAGGGAGCCAGCTCACAGTGTGGGGACAGACAGGGGCCTCCCAGTCCCTGGCCAGCCTCCGGGAGCTGCAGATGGGCCGCTGCAAGGCAGTGACCCAGGAAGGCTGTGCTCCACCCCCAGGAAGCCAGCGCCATCCCAAGCCTCTGTCCACAACACGCCCTGGCCCCATTGCCTTGGGATTCGGAGGAATCGGTCCCATCTAAAGGCCGCACAACTCCCGGATGCTTGTTCCATACTCTGCGTGTGTAACTCAACTGGTGCTCATCCACCCTACAACCTCAGTGCTACTAGCAACTCTGACAAATGAGGAAATAAGCACAGAGGGGTTAAGGGATGTGGCCTGGGGCACACAGCCAGCAAGGCACACAGATAAGCTCTGAACTGAGGTCGTGGGGGGAGACAACACACACTAGGACCGGTCACGGCCCCTCTGGCTCCAGGGCCCTACATTCCCTCCAGCAGCACTGCCCACCCTGTCACCCGCGCACCTGCCAGGGCACGTCAACTTCAGCTCGCAAACAAGCAAAATGGCTCAGCGAGATGAAAACTTAAAAAACCCATCCTCCCACGCTCCCCTCCAACAGTACGATGCATCCTTGTGAGGCCCCTGCAGATGCTTGGTCTACAGAGGGCGACAGCAGTGCTGCTGCGGGCAGCCCCGCCTAGGGGGCTCCCAGAATGTCACCAGCCGACCCCAGACCCTCAGGAGCAAGCCCTCGGCTGACTTACGGAGTGGAGCAAACAGACTCGGGCTCACTCTCCTCGGCGGCGCTGGTGTAGAACTGGAGCAGCTCATCCTTCATGGACAGCTCATGCCGGAGCTGAGACACCTGCGGAACCGGGCCCAGGGTTTGCTTCCTGGGAGGGCAGCGGCGACCCACTCACGCTGGGGAACGGACTGCTCAGCGAGGGTTGAGTTTGATCCCCGAGAGGGGGCAAATGCAATGCTAACTGCTTGGCACGAATCTTCCTATCTACATTTGTTATTGTTATTATTATTTTTGGGATAGAGAAGAAAGGGGACCACAAGGCTCTAGATGAGAACGCGAACGGCTTTTGGAAGTAGCCAGATCAGACAGCCAAAGGGCCAGAGCAATGGGTCATGGGAGCAAACGGAAGGCAAGGTCATGGTCTTCTGCAAGAGCCAACTCCCACCTTGGGACAGGATCCTGGTGAGGCCGCTACACCCAGTGCACCAACCCCTGACTTGGGAAAACCACACAGCCCCACCCTGTGACTAAGGCACTGCCACAGGGCTCCTGGCTAAGTGTGGCCAGACCTGACTCTGCAGTCCACAGTCTCTGGGGAGGATTTTCAGACTGAGGAAGCAGAGTGGCAGCCACCGGGAACGGGCTGTGTGGGTTACTGCTGGGACAGTCGCGTGCACCACATCGAAGAGTACTCCAGGTGTTGGGATACACAACCTCGTGCTGCAAACATGGTCGTGGCTGTGCAGCACTCGTGACTGACGGCTATGGATCAAGTGCTGTACATGAGAACTGCCATTGTTTTCCTTCCTTCTCGTTTCTGATTTGATGTGGGGTCTCTGGTTTACTGTGATTCCCTACGCGACACGGGGAAGCCAATTTTATGTGCATCCAGGCTATGGCTTCACCACCCAGGCTGACAACTGAATGATGGGCCGGGGGGGGGGGGGGGGCGGGCGGGGAACCTGTGAGAGTGAAATTCCAGGGAAAAGGGTGCTGTGTGTGAGGTGGGGGAGGCTCAGGCAAGGACAGTGATGTGAAGAGGTCAATGGGCGACCACTTCCTGGGTGACAGGTCCTCTGCACAGGAGGGGCCAGCCGGAGCCGGTGTGCTTTCTCCAGGGGTCACCCCGGAAGGCAGGACTCAGGTCCTGATGCCAGGGCTGGGAACACGGGACACAGCACCATCTCACCTGATTGTCTTCTAAAGAAAGCCTGAGGTCCTACGGCGACAGCCGGCCTTTATCACGCAAGGGCACTTCAAAACGGTGTGTGGAGAAAGGCAGGCTGGGTGTTTGCTCTAGTGCTTACGATGCTGCCTGGGGTGCCCGCACCCCACCTCAGAGTGCCCGTGTTCAGGTCCCCACTACACTCCCAACTCCAGCTTCCTGCTCATGCACAGCCTGGGTGGCAGCAGGTGATGGCTCCGGTACCTGAGATCCCGCCACCCCGGGGGAGACCTGGAGTGAGTTTCTGGTTCCTGGCTTTGGCCTGGCCCAGCTCCAGCTGTTGAGAGTATTTGGGGAGTGAGATAGGAGATCTCTCTGTGTCCCTCTGTCTTTCTCTGCCTTTCAAGTAAAATAAATAAAGCACTTTTTACCTTTAATAAAGTTCATGGAAAAACATTATTGAAAGTACATTTTGGTGCACAAAATTTTGAAACCTATGCATTTTTTCTAATATATATCATGCATGAACTTTCTGAACAATACTCACTGACACAAATTTCAAAATCTTTTGCATCAAAATAAACTTATCTTTATTTATTTAAAAAAATTGTTTATTTATTTGAAAGTCAGAGTTACAAAGAGAGAGGCAGAGAGAGTGTTGGTTCACTCCCCAGATGGTTGCAACAGCAAAGGCAGGGCCAGAACAAAGCCAGCAGCTAGGAGCTTCTTCTGGGTCTCCCCCATGGGTTCAGGGGCCCAGGGACTTGAGCTGTCTTCTGCTGCCTTCCCAGGCACATTAGCAGGGAGCTGGATAGGAAGTGGAGCAGCCAGGACATGATGTAGCAGGCAGTGGCTTTATCCACTACGCCACAGCACCAGCCCCTTTAATACACTTTTCTATGCAATGCACTGGGAGTAGCTTTAATTAGGCAAACTATCGATAGATCTCAGGGACATGAATTAGGGGGTCCTCTCCCGCTTTTCTGATTTAGAAAAGAACGCACGAGAAGGAAGCAGAGTCCTCATGGCCACAATGCACTGGGAAGAGAATGCTCAGGGTGACAGAAAGGCAGATCCTGGCTGTGCGCTTCTAACCCTTGTTCTCCCAACTCACTCTGCAGCCTCCCTGCTCCTGTCCACAGCACGACCCTTCCAGAAAAAGCAGCCCCTTTCAGATCAGCCTCACCACTGATATCCACCAGCCGAGATCTGCATCATGAAAATAATCATTGGGGCTGGTGCTGTGGCATACCATGAGGCACCAGCATCCCACAGTGGCGCCGGTTCAAGTCCCAGCTGCTCTACTTCCAATCCAGCTCCCTACTAATGCACTTGGGAAAGCAGTGGACGATGGTCCAAGTGCTTGGGCTCCTGAGCCCATGTGGGAGACCCAGAAGAAGCTCCTGGATCCTGGCTTTGGCCTGGCCCAGCCCCCACCATTGCATCCATTTGGGGAGAGAACCAGCGGATGGAAGATCCATCTCCTCCCTCTCTCTCTCTATACCCCAACTCTGCCTTTTAAATAAATAAAATAAATTAAAAAATAAAATAACTATGTTTCTATCATTTAAAAAGGCTATTTTTGGTCTTGTTTCATACACATGAAATTCCTCCATAATCATGAATGCGACTCGCCTTCCACAGCAGCAAGAGCCGGTCCTCCAGAAAGCCACCTTCTGCAGGCGCCCCGTCCACGAGGCTCAGGAACCCCCTGCTTACTGCTGCTGTCTCAGCCCGTGTGCCCTTTCACCCTGTGTGGAGGCTCTCTGTCAACCACGTGGTTAGCGCGTGGACTCTGGGCAGACGGTGGCAGGCCCAGGCCTGCCCACGTGGAACAGCACCACGCACCTGTGCCCACCCTGGGGACATCTGTCTTCTCCCATGGAGGACAGGAAGGAGGCACGGGAGGTTCCCAGGCTCTGAGCCGGCAGCTCTGGACTCAGGCTGAGGGTGCTCCCTGGGGGCTGGGGGCTTCTGCCCATGCCCGGGGCCCCTGAGCCCGTGGCCTCCACCCCTCACCTCTTCCCTGATGTGTTCCACTTGCTCCTCCAGCAGCTCGTTCCTCTCCGTCAGCGTCTTGTTCTTCTTCAACAACGACTGGCCGATGCGGGCAGCCAATTCTAGATCCCGCTCTTTCTACGAGAGGCAGAGGGAGGACAGAGACTCAGCAGGAGCCCAGAGATGAAATCAAGGGCATCCGGGAATTAACAAGGCCATGCATGATTGACCACCCGTGTTGGCATGGGGCGCTCGTTACAAGAGGAGCAACCTCTGCCCACAGGGGCTATGCAGACATCCAGCAGCAAACTGGAAGCCTAAGGAGAATAAATCTGTGATCCAAGAGGGAAAAAAAAAAACCACAGCTGTCACCAGACACATTTCTCTGCAGTGGTTCTCAGCGTCTGTGCAGTGCTCTGACGACCTGGGCCCAGCACATGGACACGTGGACACACTCAGGAACTCTTTGTTGAATGATTGAATGCACACAGAAATCCTGAAGTGCTCTTGCAGTAAAGCTAAGAGCTGACCCAGACAGGCAGCCCACCTCCCCCAGCATTCACTGGGGGGCAATTTACTAAGTTCTTTGTCTTTCATCCTTGGTGGCTTGTAAAGGCACAGCTGCCTTTGCAGGGAGGCAGGCGTCCTCTGATGGTGGACAGAGGCCATCCCCAAGTGTGGACTTGTCAACCCCCTGCTGGGCCCATGATAGCTCACTTCTGGGAGGAGGTGGCAGGGAGATGAGAACTGAAGAGCTAAGTCCATTCTAGACACTGCTCACCAGGAGTAAAGAAAATTAAAAGAATACAAATGTGCTGTTTAGGGTAGGGGAAGGCTGGGAAGGAATCTTGGGTCCCCACCCAACACTGGCCCTTCAGCTCCCCCGTGGCCCAAGGCAAATGGCTCAAGCTTCAGGAAGGTCAGGGGCTCCGTGGCTGGGATTGTCAAAGCACAAGGTTACTGCCTTCTAGCAAGGCGAGGAATCATTTTAGTAATAGCAACTGACATCTGGTTTACATTAAGTACAACAGCACAGAATGGAAAATACCCGAGTGTTATTCCACACTGCTGGCCAGGGAGAGAGCACTGGGCCACAGCAGGTGCTGGTCACACTTTAACTGGTGGCCCGTCCTATGCCACACCGAGATTCGGGGTTCTGTTTGAACATCCCTGGGGGTCTGGTTCCCAGCTCTGTCAAGTCGGGGGCGGAGAGGAGGGCAGGCCATCTGAGATCGCCTTGGCAAAATCTAGGGTTTCTAACTAATTACACATTTTGCTAATCACAGGAACTCCGCCTGGGCTGTCTTTGAGCCAACAAACACATATGCACCATCACCATCACTGGTTTGGACCTGCCACTCATGCGGCAACCTTTGAAACCCCAAATGTGCAAAGTGCTTGGACAATAGATAGAATTACAAAGGGGGAATCAGGGGCACAGCACTCGAGGTCAAGTACAGTTTGGGGAGACTGGAGCTGACGGTCACCTGGCTCCCTCTTGCAGAAACACTGTCTCTGTCCCCTGGGTCTTCCCTAGTGAGGCGTTCACTACCATCCCAGAGCCAAGTGGGTAAACCAGTAAATCAGCAGTGAAAACCCCAATCTGGGCCTGCCAGAAACATAGTATGAGTGGAGAGGGCCTTCCAATGGGGCCGTGGAGGGCGGGACGCAGTGACTCTGTCCAGGAAAATAGGACCCTCATCTCTGGGCATTCAGTCACACTGGCCACTGCCTACCAGGAGGGGTCTGTAACTCCCAGACCCTTGTCACGTCTCAGGCTCAGCAGCTGTGCTTATTTGGTAGCGAGAGGAAAGGATCGAAGAATTGTGTGAGGCAACCTGTACAGAATTCAAGTCTGCAGGCCAGATTCAAAACCAGCACCTGCCATTCGCATTCTCATTCCAGTTCTCATTCTCATTCCAGCCAGCTCAACTCAGCTGAAAGTGCAGCTCTGACGTCCACTTCTCTGCCAAAGTCTGGTCCCCATAAACCTACCTCAAGCCCAGCCAATTCCTCCGCTAGAGCGAGTTCTTGTGCTGAACACCCAGAGGGTGCCTGATTAACGCTCACTGGTTCCGGACCTGACTACCTGCTCTGCGCTGGCTTCCCACAACCATGCTGCTCGGCTCCTGGAACAGGCACAGCCGCTTGGCGCGCCGTGGCCACACTGTGTTTGCACATTTCACCATAAACAAATCAAGCAAGAAAGCGACAGTCCCTATGAAAGGTGAGGCAAGGTACTGCCAGAGCACCTGACAGATGCACAGAGCTTCCCACAACACAGGACCCCAGGAGAATGGAGAAGAGGCGGGGGAAGAAACACAAGAGGAGTGTGTGTGGGGAGGGGCTCAACAATGGAGCCCCTTGGACACACCTCAACCTCAGCCCCGAGGTTCGTCTTGCTCTCTCTACTATCGCAGATTCTCTCTTGGTCTACACAGGACAGCTAATTTTTTTCCTTCTTTATTTTGTTTAGAAAAAGTTTTTTGATGACCGTTTAGTACGTGAACACCAGGGGGCAGCAGGCAGCCTCAAGAAGTATAAATACAGTGCAAACGGATTAAATCAGGCTATCAGCATCCCCGCTTCCCCCCCACTTCCTCTGTGTTTGGAGGCCCCTTCCCACCCCCCAGCTCTGAACACGATGAATAATACCATGACACCTGGGCTCCCAGGCTCACTGTACCCTTCTCATAATAGCCAGGACATGGAATCAACCTATGTGTCCACTGATGGGTGAATGCATTAGGAAAATGTGGCAGATATACATTTAGGAATATCACTCAGCCCTTAAAATGTACGAAAGCCTGAAGTTCAAGCGTTACAGTAATTATAAAGATCATGGTCTGCTGTGATAACAAAAAGCAAGAAGTTATAGTAAAAGTATTCATTGATGAGGTAAAAAATTTAAACAAGTCATTGAAGCACCTTCAGTTCCTTTCCTGGTTCTCATTTTACTAAGGCAATAGCTCGGCTGCGTTTCTCTTTGAGAAATGCAAGGGTGACAGAAGAGACTAGCCAACACATGATCAGTGGGTATTTTGAAAACCAGCACAAAAGCTAGGGGATGTCCACTAGAATAAAGGACGAGAGTAACAGACTCCAAACAAATTCACATCGGCCCTTGGAGACAAGCTATTGAAAGAGCCAGTTCACAAAGAGGCAAGGAGGAGCTCACTGGAATGACTTATTCTCTCTTTCTGGCGATGCTTTGGTTAAAATGACTCTAACTTTAGTCTCTGTTTTGTTTTGTTTTTTACTTATTTGACAGGTAGAATTAGACAGTGAGAGAGAGAGACAGAGAGAAAGGTCTTCCTTCCGTTTGTTCACCCCCCAAATGGCTGCTTCGGCCAGTGCGCTGCACCGATCCGAAGCCAGAAGCCAGGTCTCCCACGCGGGTGCAGGGGCCCAAGCACCAGGGCCATCCTCCACTGCCTTCCCGGGCCACAGCAGAGAGCTGGACTGGAAGAGGAGCAGCCGGGACTAGAACCCGGCGCCCATATGGGATGCCGGCGCCGCAGGCAGAGGATTAACCAAGTAAGCCACGGTGCCGGCACCCTCAGTTGCTTACCAATGAATGAACTTACACTGACTGTGACGCCCACTAGTAACAGGAACAGCCAGCAGTGCACACTTCATGGCTGACTCATCTCATTCACCAATTTCAGGACAAAAAGCATCACTGGGGCCCAGAGGGTCAGCCTCTCCCTACCTGGGGAGAAGGTGAGCCTGGCCCACAGGTGCATCCTGGATAGCAGCCAGCCAGAGCAAGCCACAAGAAACCTTTTCCTTTAAAACCAGAAGCACGCTTGTCACGCTGGCCAAGAGACAGCAGGTGTGCAGACCAAAGCCATTGACAGCAGAGGCAGAGCCGAGAGCAGAGGAAAGTGCAGCCTGGTGTGACCGTCACACGACCCGGGTGGACTGGTGGTCACCGGGATCCCCACCCAGTTCCACAGAAAGGCAGGGAACTCTGACACGATTCTTATCAGGGCAAGGAGCAAATGGCACTGCTATTTATAAAACACAGAGATACAGATGGACCAATGCCATGACCTTGTGAAAAGTGAAACAAGGCACAACAAAGAACCAAGGAACTGCCCTGCCAAGACTATTCCTAGCACCCACCTTGTTTTATAAGATGAGGCCAAACATGGCCATGGACATAGCCACTTAGAAAACCAGCTGGTGGCGAAAAAGTGAATTCTTGACCCTGGCATCTGCACAAAGGGCTCAAACTCTCACCCAGCTGAGAAGGGCCACGACCTGGGGAATGTTGTCCAGCACTGCCAGCTGGGACTCGGTCACAGCCAAGAACTGCAGGCTGTGGACACTCCGGGGTGGCAGCCCATGGAACCACTCTGGGGCTGGTGTTTGGCACAACAGTGAAGACGCCACTCGGGACACCCGGTACAGCCTCTACTGGAGAGCCTGTGTTTGAGTTCAGTTCCGCTCCTGATTCCAACTTCTGCGCACCGAGGGAGGCAGTGGTGATGGCTCAAGAAATGGGTTCCTGCCATCACATAGGAGACCTGGATTGGGTTCTTGGCTCCTAGCTTTGGCTCCAGCCAGGGACTGTTGTGGGCATTTGGTGAATGAGCCAGCAGACAGAAGTTTTCTCTCTCTTTTTTCTATCTCCCCACCAAATAAACAAAAGAATGAAAGTTCTCAATAGGAACTCAAAAAGAACTTCAAACAAAATACAGTCAGAGGTGCTGACCAGGCAGCCACCACCAGAAGGCAGAAGGCCTGTGCCCCCAAATGCCTCGGCTAACACCCTGACATCACTCTGTGACTCTCTCTAGGAGATTGGACAGGAGTGGGTTCAAGGGAGGTGTGAGACACTGGGTAGGCAGAGGGAGAAACACAGCGGAAGAGAAAGGCGCAAACATGGGGTGAAGGGACATCCCCACCCCCAAATCAAACACTCTGGGTTCTGCCACTGCTGCCCGGGCCCTGCCTGGGTTTCGGCTTCGTCGCCCAGCTGGCTGGAAACCAGCAGGGATTCCTGTGTCTCCCACGTTGCTCTAACTCCCTTCCTGGGGACAGTGTTAAGGAACATGACCTGGAGTCATTCTCGCTTCTGGAGCAGGACCAAGGGTCTGCAAGTTAGCACCTGTCTGTGTCAGAGCTGCTCTGGAGCTGGGGCCAGTGTTTAAGGACGGGCACTTATTTCGTGAGTCCTTTCTAAGAACCCACAATGGCCAGCTTTGTTCTATAAGGATGCTCCAAAACCGGTCATGGAAAAATGGAACCACAAGATACATTTAACCCATTTAAGTGTTACCATATTTTGTATCAGGAGTAACATATCCTTTGAAAAATCTAAAATACCCATACAAAATTCTAGCTACAAAGGTCTACCTTGCTACTAGTTCAGAAAGCAGAGGCATTACACAATACCCGGAGAGGGCCCAACTTCTGAGAGTCCTCGCTGAAGCAGACAACAGCGTGCGCTTCTATCAGATGGTGATAAGCAGCTCTTTCTGCCCTCCCCTAAAATGCTTACCTCCTCCAGAAGCCGAGTGACAGCGTCGATGTCATTGTACGTCTTAGTCATCTGGCCAACTCTTTCAGCACATAGCACTGTAAGGAGTAAAAGTGACAATGAGACCTAGGACACACACCTGCCAGACAAACGACCCCATCTGGAAAAGCACCCTGAGGTTGTGTTCCTGTGCTAGCACGCAGGGCCACTGACTTTCCTGGGTTCAGCCCACACTGTGTTCAACACCACGGGGTTTCACTTTCCAGTTCCAGGTGTGAGATCTAACTGTGGGGGATGGGTGCTATCCCTGTATAGCCTTACACTGTGGGTCTGTGTGGGGGTGCACACGCGTGTGCATATATAAAGGCAGTATGAGGGCCAGGTGGTGGGGTAGAAGGGCTCTGGCCTCCAATGAACTCAGCAAACTCAAGTGCATGGGGCAGAGGTCAGGTGGCAGCACAGCCCCTGTATGCAACCTACCAGAAAGGCCTGCAGGGCTGCACCCCACCAGCCACACAGCCCCAGCCGCATGGACAGAGGGGTCCTTCTGGAAGCACCGATTGGATCTCATGACAGCACGGCCCCCTCTGCCCATCTCATCCTGACACTGAGTCTAAGGAATGGCTTCCATACTATGAAAAACAAGGCAATCTATTTTTAACATCTATACCAAAATGACCATAATCTTTGCCCACCTACACACACACTCACATCCACTGTGGTCAGAGCAAGAAGCACAAAAGCCACCCTAGAACTGTGTCTCTTTTACTCCTTCCACTGAGAAAAAAAAAAAAAAAAAGGATTGTGCAATGAAAGGCTTTAGTCTGCCAAAAAAAAAGAGAGAGAGAGAGAGAGAGAGAGAGAGAGAGAGAAATCTCAGGCTTGTCTAATTTTAAATCAATAGCAAGGACTAGATTTGCAGTTCAACAAAAGGTAGCATTGCCTTTTATTCTATGGAGGAAGGAGTGAATGCAAACAGATTTAGGGTCAAAGAGCATCCATTCTGACACCTGTCACTTTGGGGCTGCATAATAACTCCTCAACAAGGCTTTGTGAGCAAGACTAACTCTGTTGCAAGCTGACACTTTGGCAATGACCCAAGCCCCCGGAGGAAAGCAAATGGGAATTGCAATGCTGCACTAAGTCCAAGTTGGGCGCATAGCAAGTGGAATTCAATAGGTCTGTAAATATTTCATGAAACACCAGTAGAGAGCACCCTGGCAAATGAGCTCAGTCAAACCTGATCTGTTGGAATGATTTCTGAGCTTAAGGAGGAGACCTGAAATCTGGTTCTAAATCTGAAACTGTAGCCTCCCCCCCCCCCACCCCGGGGAGGCAGGCTCCCTGCTGGGGTTTGCTCTCCACCCAGCCCTATCACCTGCCTCACAGCAGAGAGAAAAGTCCATCACCCGGGGCATCGTCTTTGCCTCTCACTTAGGCAGAGCTGCCAGGGAGGAGAGAGAGACTGAAAAGGGTGGGTTTCAACCAGAATCTAGCTCACGGGCTCAGGGCGGGTGAAGGCTCCTGTGCCTCGGGCAGGAGTTAGCGCTCGTCCTGTGCCGCTGTGATCCTGCCAGACAGCAGGAGCTGGAGCTGTAGTCTGCTCCAGTACCGTGTCAGTCCGAGACGACACTCATCTCCCCAGCTAATGTCTTAAGATCACTGTCATTACCCATACAGGCGGGCATGTGTGGCTAATTCTATGCAGTCGTAAGAAATAATCCACAGGAATCCCATAGATCCTGAGGCAGGTTCCCGTGTACTGAGATTCGGCAAAGTTATATACCATGACCAGGATGCTGACATCTATCTGATTCGCGGTCTTATTCAGATTTCCCCAGTTTTAACCGTACTGGGTTAAGTGAGTGTGTGTATGTGTGTAGCACTAGACAGTTTTAATCCCCTGTGCAGCTTCATGTACCTACAACCATCAGGACCCCTTTGTGTTGTCCTTTTATCAAATAATTTTAAAAATCTTTACCATATTTTTAACACTTAAACTCAATACAATGCATGCATGGGCCAATGCTCTTCCCAGCATTATTCTCACCAGGCACACAGTGCAAGGAGGCCAGGTGTGCCCTGTCATATCCCTGGCACGGCGCCCCTTCAGCTGGGGGTGCTCAGGGGCAGGCCTTCCTGGAAGCCCCAGGCCCTCTGGGTCTAACTACACAAGTCAGAGGCATCAGTGAAAAAAACAAACACGACAATGTACCTCAAGCTGTGAAAGTACGTGATTATTCCAGCTATGTTTTTAAAGATACACATAATTCCAACAGGGGGAGGAGAAATGTATAAATTTATAGTACATAGAAAAAGAGTAAAGATAGCCACAGAATCACTGATGTTTGGATAAGATTGCAAGTTTTCACCTTCTTTTGCATGTGTGTGTGAGTTTAAAGAATTTCTGTAGTGACCCTGCACTGATGGGGAAAAAAACACAACATTTTCCATAAAGTACATAGTTGATAATAAGACAGAAGGTTGCCGGCACCTTGGCTCACTAGGCTAATCCTCCGCCTGTGGTGCTGGCACCCTGGGTTTTAGTCCCGGTTGGGGCGTCGGATTCTGTCCCGGTTGCTCCCCTTCCAGTCCAGCTTTCTGCTGTGGTCCGGGAGTGCAGTGGAGGATGGCCCAAGTGCTTGGGCTCTGCACCCACATGGGAGAGCAGGAGGAAGCACCTGGCTCCTGGCTTCAGATTGGTGCAGCGCGTCGGCCGTAGTGGCCATTTTGGGGGGGGTGGGGTGGTGAACCAACGGAAAAGGAAGACCTTTCTCTCTGTCTCTCTCTCTCTCACTAACTCTGCCTGTCCAAAAAAAAAAAAAAAAAAAAAAAAAAAAGATAAAAGAAAAAGACAGGAGGTCCTGGGAGCCTTCCTGAGCTTATTACAACAGAAATTAATAACAGCAATAGGAGCACTTACACATATAAACTCATGGACAGCAATTCTGAATCTACAGGTACAGTGCAATGTGCTGGCCGTGTACACTGTGTCTTGACCGGCTCAGGGTGTTCCCAGGCAGATCCTGACCAGGGCCAGGCACCATTCAGAGACCTCAGTATGGACAATCTCACGTCGCCCTCTGCGCACGACTAAGGGTGGGCACTGACATGGACACAAATGGGAAGCCAAGGCTCAGAGCCGTTAAGTAGCTTGCCCGGTGCCACACAGCCAGTGGGCAGTAAGTTTATAAAACAAGAACAGACTCCTAGCAGAGGCAGCAGCTAATGTTTACAGCACCCCTATTATGCTAAAGGATTGAACCCGCTTCCTCAATTCATCCCCACAATAACCCTGCAAGGTAGCTCCTCCACACCATGAATAATCTGATGTTCTGGACCCAACCAGGTCACACAGGGAGAGAGGCTGCACCACAGGGGCTGAGCTGAGGCCAGCCTGGCTCGTGCACTCAACAAGTGAGCCATAAAGGAACAAGGACAAGGTAGGGCCAGCGCCAATCAACAAGGTTAAGGACATGTGCAAACAGGGCAAGACGCCCGTGTGGCATGGGGGAAGAAAGACTCCTGACCCTGGGGGCTTGTGTTCTCCTAGGAGACTGTCCCAAGGTCACCAGGCCCTGAGAAGGCCTCTTAATGCCTGCATTTCCTCTTCCTGGAGCCGAGCAAAGAGTGTGGGAAAATAACAAGCGAGGCCTTTGCAGGGAGGTCAGCACAGGCTGTGCTTTGCCAGTGCAGCCGCTCTGGATGCTCCATCTACAATAAGCTGTGGCCGGGTCTCTCTCGCCAGGGGAGCGGCTCTGCAACTGCTGGTTGCATCTCTCACCCCCAAAAGTGTGCCCCTTGCCCCCTAAAAAGTAAAGGGGCAGCCATACACCCCCACAGTAACTTAGTACTCAAAAATTAGGACCAAAAATGTTAGACATAGCCTGTCCGCTACAGAAAAGTAGATGGAAGAGAAAGTTCATGAAAAATGCATAACCCGGAGAAGCCACGCACCGATTTCAAACTTACTGCACCTAAATACATCTACCGTTTAGTTCCATTTTCTGAACTTTGTGAAGTCCCTGTGTACACACACTGCGCTTCTTGCACCGTCAAACCTGCAGGAAATGATGCCCCATCTCCTGCACCAGGCTCTGCGCTGAACCCGAGGGTTGCCTGCCCTCCTGTGGCAGCACAGACACCAGGGCAACCTGGGGCAGGCATGGGGGGATTGATTTCAGGGCCTGGCAGCCCCCTGTAGAGGCCATGGACTTTTATCATGGGCAATGGAAAGTCACTTGAGATTTCTCAAAGGGACAGCGTCCATGGGAGATTTGTAGTTCAAACAACACTGTGGCTTCCATGTGGAGCAATGGGGGAGGGGAGCAGGGCCAGGTAGAGAGACCAATGTCAAGGCTGCTGGCCTAAAGGCGGGCTCTTTCCTTGAGAGACTGCAGAGGTCTGACTGAGCGGGAGGTAAATCAAAATGTGTAGGACCTGGGGTTCTTGCTGGGACAGGAGCCATGGATCTCCTGGGTCTGGCACCTTCTGTTGAGACAGGCAGGTGCAGCCCGACAGAAGCAAGATAGGGCCAGCACTGGAACAGCCACTGAGGTCACCGTGGAATGGCGTGCTGGGCATGGGGCTGTCCACAATCCACTGCGGCAGGAGGCCTAGTGGACAAAATGCCCTGCCATGCCCCCCAGGAGCTGCAGGTGGTTTTGGTCTGGGAGAATCCACTTTGAAGCGAGAGGAGACTGGGTTATCATCAGGAAGGCAGGTGCAGTACCAGACTCTGGAGCCAAACTGGAACCAGCAGGCCTGGGCTGGCTGAGCATAGGGACGGAGACCTGTGACGAGGCTGTCACAGCTCACTGGATTCACAGGGTGGACAAAATTCTGAGCGGCACTGGAACTAGAAAATCAGGAGTGCAACTGTGATGCAAAGTAAACTTTGCCCCAAACGATTTTTAGAACAAATGCTGGCATCCATTCTTCCAGGTATGCGCACAACAGGAGCCACCAGCCCAAAGCAAGTTCCAATCACCCACATATAGTGTGAGGTCCCACACAGGAACAGGTGCCTGTCTCACGCCATCTGTGACAAGCCACCTGCACACTTTGGCCTCAACAGTCTTCCTGGGGCTTCAACAAG